CAACATAAACTGAGGAGCATCAGTACTCCTAAAAGAAGTGACAAAGAGTACAGACAAACAGTCAGATGAACAGACAGACAGGGAGCACAGGGGCTTTCACCTGCAGAGTGTAGGGCACCCTCCTCACAGGGAGTCTGCCAGTCTGGAAGCTCTCTGAAGCCCATAGTTCAGGAGTTCCTGTGGCAGCTTCCGTAAGTAGACATCACTGACAGTGCTAGTTCCGTTTTCTAAAGAATAGGGCTGCACACTGGAAGTTCCAAATTTGTGATCATGGCTTGGTCTTGCTGGTGACTCCTCCTTAGAACAGGTGACCTTCCTACCAGCCAGGACGCGAGGAGGGTTTCTGGGGCTCTGTGTAGGGAACCGGGGCAGACACAGGCACATGTACAGGTATTTCTTATTTCACAGTTTTCTTGTAAGAGTTTTTATTGGTTTAGATCTTACATTTAGCTCCTTGATTCACTTCGAGTTCATTTTTATATATGATGTGAGGTAAGGGTCTGATCTTTTTTTTGCTCACAGGGGACTGAACCGAGGGCGATATGGAGCATGCGCTCTACCCTTGACCACTGCCATTTGTATGTCAATATTCACCCAATTTTCCCAATGCTGTTTGACATAAAGACTGTTATTTCTCCATCAAATGTTCTAGGCACCCTTGTAAAAAACCATTTGCGCATATATGCCAGAGTTTATTTCTGGAATTTGCACCTTGTAACCAGTTGCTCCTGAGAACCATTAACTTTTATGTAGTACTTCAGTAGATAAATAATAACGTGGAACTTTTGTTTGCTTGCTTTTGTTTGCTTTGTTTTGTTTCTTGTTTTCTGAGGCAGGAGAATCACAAGTTCTAGGCCAGGTTGGGCTGTGTTGTGAAACTACCTCAAAACACAACACAACACAACACAGCACAACACAACACAACACAACACAACACAGCACAACACAACACAACACAACACAACACAGCACAGCACAACACAACACAACACAACACAGCACAGCACAACACAGCACAACACAACACAGCACAGCACAACACAGTGGATTGGTGGTTTCCAGCAACTGGAGAGGATAAAAGGCAGAGTTGTGTTCAATGGGTATATTTTCAGTTTTGCAAGATGAAAAAGTTCTAGAGATTTTTTTTTTTTTGTCTTTTTCGTTTTTATTGGTACCAGGGATCGAATTCACGACTGCCTGCTTGCAAGGCAGGCACTTATGCTGCTGAGCTAAATCCCCAGCCCCTAGTTCTAGAGATTTTTTAAAAGATGCAAATCAATTAACAGTACTGCTCCATAGTTAAAAGCAGGTAAGAGTACCAGCAGTGGTGTCCCATGCCTGTAATCTCAGAGCTGATGAAAATTTAGTGAGACTGTTTCAGAATAGAAAAATTTAAAAATGGATTGTGGATATAGATCAGTGTAAAGGCCTTGGGTTCAATTCCCCAGTACAAAAAAAAAAGTTAAACCAGGTGTGGTGATGCACACCTGTAATCCCAGCACTTGGGAGGCTGAGGCAGAGGCAGGAGGATTGCTGTAAATCTGAGGCCAGCCTGGGCTACATAGTGAATCCCTGTCTCAAAACAAAACAAACAAACAAAAAGCATCCAAAAAGAAGAGTTTAAACTTCATTCTTTTAACTTAATGAAAAATTTAAAATAAGAACAATTAAAAGTTAAGACAGTACATTTTATTTTTTTGCCATATATTAAAAATAAATATAGGCTATAGCACACAGGGTACACACAGGGTATAACCCAGTGGGAAAGTGCTTGCGTGTAATGTGGAAGGCTCTGGGTTCCATCCCAACACAACAAAAAAATAAAATAAAAATAAGCCTTAAACACATAATTAAATAAACACAATGAAATTCTTGGCAGGTCTCTTGTTCCCTGGTCTCTTGTTCCCTAGGGTTCTCTTCCTGGAAGAAGGAGAGGGATTTTTTTTTTTGGTCTGCTGGAATCTGGCTGTCCTTCAGTTCTGTAGGAACTGAGGAGTGGAGACCCCCATCTGACAGTCCCCTAAGAACTGCTTCCTGCTTCCCTGCCCAGAATAGTGCCCTCAAATTTTTTTAGGTTTCAAAACAATTGTGAAGCCAGGCCTGGTGGCACAACCTGTGATCCCAGCACTCAGGAGGCTGAGGCAGGAGGATCCATTTGAGTTTGAGGCCAGCTTGCGCTACAAAGTAAGTTCAAGTCCATCCCAAATTGCATAGTGAAACCCTGTCTCAAAAAGACAAATAAATAAATTTTAAAAGGGCTGGAGATGTATTCCAGTGAGAAAGCCCTGGGTTCAATCCCTAGTATCAAAAAAAGGAAAGAAAGAAAGAAAGAAAAAGTTATTTCCTGACTTTTAAAGTTCACACCTAAAATTACAAAATTTTGATTATTTAAAATATAAAAATTTAATTTTCTAAAAGAAATTAGTTGACATAGTTGTACAGGGACTGGGGATTTAGCTTAGTGGCATAAGATCCTCCTGCCTGGCAAGTTCAAGGTCATGAGTTTGATCATTGGCACCCAAAAAAAAAAAAAAAAAGAGAGAGAGAGAGAGACATAATTGTACATATTTATGGAATATACTCTTGTATCATAAGGTATGTATGAAATGTGTAATGATCAGATCAAGTAATTGACATATCTGCCTTCTCAAATATTGCTTCTTTTTGTAAGGAACACTGAAAATCTGCTCTAGTAGCTATTTGAAATACACAATTAATTGTTGTCAACCACAGTTATTCCACTGTCCTGCACAACATTGGAAATGATCTCTCTTATCCAACTGCAGCACTATACCCATTAACATGCTTGTTCCTTGCCTCCTCCCCCTGTAAAATGTACCTTTTGTGGCCATTCTTTTTATTGTCTTTTTGTTTTTGTTTTTGAGACAGGGTTTCACTATGCAGTTCAAGCTGGCCTTGACCTTACCTTGTAGCCCAGGCTGGTCTTGAATTCAAAAAGATTCTCCTGCTTCAGCCACTTAAGTGCTGGGGTATGTCGCCATGCCTGGTTCATGTTAAGTTTTTATTTTTAAATTTTTTTCACAGACATAATTTATTTATTTTTTATTTAAGAGAAAAATGACACAGAAAAGTAAAACAAAAAACCAAAGACAAAAAAAAAAAGCAAGAGACAAACAACAACCAACCCCAAATAATAATAACATAGGCTTTCAAAGATGACAGGTGGCTGGGGATTTAGCTCAGTGGCATAAGTGCCTGCCTTGCAAGCAGGCAGTTGTGAGTTTGATCCCCGGTACTGGTAAAAAGGAAAAAGACAAATAATAATAATAATAATAATATGACAGGAAATTAACAGTGATTGCTATATTGCCTATTGTTATCTTCAAAAGGTTTAGATTCCAGATATGCAAAACTGATTTAATCATGAATAGTAACAGTTCTTTTCGAAGAACTAATAGAATTAATGGAATAGTCATTGTAGCTATTTTATGTACCTATATACACATTTATGTCCTTTTCTTTTTTCCTCCTTTCCCCATCTCTTTTTTTTTTTTTTTTTTTTTTTTTTTTTTTTTTTTTTTTTTTTTGAGACAGATTTTCCCTAAATTGTTGAGTTGCCCAGGTTGGGATCCAATTCTCAATCCTCCTGTCTCAGCCTTCCGGAACCCTGGGATTACAACCATGCACCACCACACCAGTTTAAAATGTAGTATTTTAACAGCAGTGCATTAGGTGAGGTGAACTAGGTGAGTTTCCCTGTTTTTCTAGTTAATTCCAGTATCTAAGAATCAAGGACCCTTGTTGCTAAAAAATGAGTAAGTAGAGCATCAGTTTGACTCCTATATTTCTTTTTTTTGTATATTAAGAGCTGAGAAATTATTAGTTTCCAGTGGCTGTTTTGACAGGTGAATATAATTTTGGTGGCTTAAGAGTAGAAATCTCTCTCACAGTTCTGGAGATCAGAGGCCTGAAATCAGCATGCATGAGCAGAAATCAAGGTGTTGGTGGGGCTGAGCTCTGGAGGCTCCAGGGTTGAATCCAGGAACTGTCTGTCCCCTGCCTTCCAGCTCCAGTGGTTGCTGGCATGGTAGCCTGAATCCTTGACAGCTAAGAAGACACTATTTCTAAAAAGGTAACTTCATGAATGGCAGAAACTAGGACCAGGGTATCTTTTGGGGAGACATTTACCACCTACTATGGAAAACTTATTTATTGGTTAGGTCATGAAGTATTTATTGACCTGGGCACAGTGACACACCACCTGTAACCCCACTGCTTTGGGAAGCTGAGGCAGGAGGATCGCAAATTCAAGGCCAGCCTGGGAAACTTAGCAACTTAGAGAGACCCTACATTAAAAAAATAAAAAGAGCACCTGAAGATGGCCATTCCAAAAGTGACATGTGAAGTACAGGCCACACACTGGCTTTCAAAGACTTAGCACATGCATCTAAATGAGTGTTGAATAGCTCAACAATTTAAAAATACTGATTACATGTCCAAGTGATATATAAGTAGGATATATCAAGTCAAATTAAATGATTAAATTTAATTTCAAGGCTTCTTTATAGGTGTGTGTGTGTGTGCTGGGGATGGAACTCAACATGCTAAGCAGGCACTATTCCACTAAGCCACACTCTAATCTGCTTTTTAGGTTTTTTTTTTTTTTTAAATGTAGTTTCTAGAACATTTAGAATAATACATGCGGCTTGCATTGCATGGAAACTGTTATCCTAAGCAGAAGAGAGGATTATGGACAATTAACACAATAAACAAATATATGATACATTTTAGAAAAAAATAAAGGAGAGTGTTTGTTTTATCACTGCCATAATAAATTGCCTGGCCAGATGTGGTGGTGTACCCCTAATGTCCCTGCACTAGGGAGGCTGAGGTAGGACTGTGGGGAGTTTGAGGGCAGCCTGGGGTAGAAAGTGAGTTCAAAGCCAGTCTGAATTGCACAGCAAAACCCTGTCTCAAAAAGATTAAAAAAAAAAAAAAAAAGAAAGAAAAGAAAAAAACAGTAATAAATTGTCACAATGTTAGTGGTTTAAGAACCAGTTTTATTACCTTATAGCTTTGGAGGTCAGAAGTCCAAAATGGGTGTTAGATGTCTAAAATCAAAAGTACATGTTTCATTCTGCAGATTTCTGGGGAATCCATTTCTTGCCTTTTTCAGCTTCTAGAATATCGGCATTTTTTTCCTGGGTTCTTGGCCATATCATTTTTTTTTTTTTTTTTTTTTTTTGTCTTTTTCCTTTTTATCGGTACCGGGGATCCAACTCACGACTGCCTGCTTGTAAGGCAGGGGCTTATGCCGCTGAGCTAAATCCCCAGTCCCTGGACATATCAATCTTATTTCTCCAGCCCTGCCTCTTATAAGGACCTCTGTGACTGCACAGGGCCACCAGAATCTAGGGTAATCTTACGTTTGTCCTTAATGTCAAAGCCCCTTTAAAGCCCTCTTCACCACAGATTTTGGGGATGATGCTATGGATATCTTTGGGGGCACATGATTCTCCTACTACAGGGATGGCCAGGTGGGAGTGGCTGCATTTTAGACAGGGGTGGCTGGGAGAAGGTCACTGAAGTCACATCTGCACCAGGTCCTGACAGGTCGATAAGGCGCCGTGTATTAGGGAAGCACATGCCAGGCAGCAGACAGGCAGGGCAGAGGCACCTTTTCTTGGGCCCCCTCCTCCTTGCTGCCCCTAAATTACATATTGCTGTCGCAGCTGCCTCCCCCTTCTTGCTTGAGTAACAAAGGGACTGAGACCCCTAATCATCAAAGGGGCTCGGTCATGGTCCCTACTCTCCATGGCTCCTCAAACGGCAGTTGGGCCTGTGGAACGAGGTGGAAGGCTGGGTCAGAGGGTGACGGGTCCCACCCTCCCTGCCACCTGCATCCTAGATGGGCGGTCACCTGGGCTCCAGGCTGGTTCTCTCCGTGCATTGTCCGCCGGCGGTGCCACTGGCGCAGAGAGGCGCTGGCCTCCGAGCTGAGCCCGTGGGGCGCGCGGCCCGAGTCGGGCTGGTAGTGGGCAATGTGGTGCAGCGCCCCAAACCAAGTGGTCAGGTAGTACCCGGCTAGGAGGAGAAGGGGAGTCCCTGGTCACCCGAGGCGCCCTCGCAGCTCGCTCGCCAGTCCTCTTGCGGCTTTGGCAGAGGTGCCTTCTCACCCTCTCCCTGAAGTTCCTCCGGATCCAAGAGCTCCATTAGAAACTCCACGTCCAGCTGCGTCTCACCGATGTGTGGACTCCAGATCAGCTCCTCGGTCAGCGCGGGCAGGAAGGCGTCGGCCCCTATGGGCTCTGGGGAAGCCGAGGGTCAAGTCCTGTGGCTGCGTGTCCCAGCCACCTCCATTTGGTTCCCAGGACCCATTGGCACCTGCCATTAGGGCGTGCTCCCCTCTCCCTCAACGCGACGACGCGAGCATTGGGCCTGCTACCTCGGGCCACTCCACGGCCCGGCAAACGCCCCGCCCCTCCTTTACCCTGGTTCTCGCCTCGGGCCAGGCCCGCGTAGACGTCACTGCACACCGCCAGCAGCAGCGCCACTTTGCGGCGCGGCGAGCACGCGGCGTGAAGGTGCGCGAGGCGCGCGTGGATGCGGCTCCGCAGGGCGGGGGCGGGGCTCTGCCCCTCAGGCCCCGCCCCCGCCCGCAGGGCTATTTGTCGCCGCCGCAGTCGGCGCAGTTCCTGGGCACGTAGCGTGCGCAGTCGTGTCCACAGGGCAGGCTTGAGGGGTGCGAATACCACGCGGCACACCGCCGCCTCCACCGCAGGGCCTGTGGGGTGCAGAGTGCAGGGTGCGGAGCGGGTGAGGGCGGGGCCGCGGAGCTGACCTGCCCCAGTCCCCCAGCCAGTGTAAACAAAGTCGCCCACACGCGCTCGGGCTTCAAGGTACTGCGGTCAACGCACACGTGCGCAACGCCTGCGCAAAGCGAGCTGCCGTTGTCTCGAGTTGGAAAGGGCGTGCGAGTGCAAGGGACACAGGCGTGTACGCCAGTGGGGACAGAGACTTTGGCAGTGAACACCTGTGCGGGGGTTCCCTTTTAGTCTCCCCCATTACCAAGATCCTTGTCTTTCTGGACGGCCCCAGGCCCCCTGCTCCCAAAGACAGCTCTCACGTCGAGGTCCTTTGCCAAGTAATCCTGGAGGTCTGTAAGGAGGTGCCGCACATCCTGCAGCAGCTCCGTGGCCGGGTCTCCAGGCCTGTTGGGACCCCTGGAATCTGAGGCGAGACGTGCCTGGAGGACCCGAGACTGCCTGGCCACGTAGCTGCTCCGCGCCCTGGCCAGGGCACGGATGTGAGCAGTCAGCTCATCCTCGGCGTCTTCCTCTTCATCTCTGTAGTTGTCGTTGTCCTCCTGCTGCTGCTGCTTCTCTTCCACCAGACTGGCCAAAGCCGGCTGAGGCTGGTGTACTTGCAGGCTGGGCGGGTCTTCCACCCAGGAGACCCGGTGCGGGGCGGGGTTTCTGCGGGCTGGATGAGCCAGAGGGTTTGGATGCTGTGGAGCCGCTGCCCTCATCCCTCAGGGGCCCATGCGCGCCTGCTCACCTGGACCGTGGTCCTGGGCAGTCTCCTCGGGGGTCTGCTCCAGCTCCCAGCCCCCGTGGGTGTCCAGGTAGAGCTGGTTCACCACAGAGAACACTCTCCCTGAGGTATCAGCTTGGGCCCTGCCCACCTGCAGAGGATCTGGGGGCCACCAGAAGTCAGAGGGTGTCCCAGGTGACTGAGGGCCAGCCCTGTTCTTTTCAGGCTCTCAGGAGACTCAGTTCCTAGCCTTCCTCACTCAGGTCCATGAGTTGAGTCTCCTCGGCTCCCTCTTCCTTCCATTATCTCTTCCCTAATGACCAAGAAATCCAGGCTCCCACCCCCTCGCCCCTCCTGACCCCCAAATCTGCCCTCCTTCACACCCTGTAGTCAGGTCCCCCACGTGCAGTCTCATTGCCAGGCCTTGGTGAACCTTTCCTTCAAGACCCGTGCCTCACCTGTGCCTGTGTCTCCAGGCACTAGTGTGGGAGGGGGCAAGAGCAGTGTTCTGGGCAGCACATCCCTGAGAAGACAGAAGGGGACGGCACTGTGGGTGGGCGTCTTGTGAAGGGTTCCCTTCATCCCTGTGGATGGATAACCTGTACCTGCTGGCTGATAGGAAGGCCAGAAGATGAGGCAGGTCTGGCATGAAGAGATTGGAGGATTCCAAGGACACACCTGGGGTGAGGAGACAAAAGAGGGATGAGAAAAAAAACTGGGGGCGGGGGGGGGGGTGCCAGCCTTCTTTCCTTGGGGCTGTCTCTTCCCCCATCCCTGAAGTCCCTCAGAGGGACCTTCCAAGAAGATGGAATCTTCATCTTTTCCTCATCTTGATCCTTGGATCCCACTTATGCCACCAGATAAGATTTATTCATTAGATATTTGTTCAAGTACTGGGGATTGAAGCTAAGGGCCTTCACACTGAGCTACGTCCCCAGTCATTTTTAAATTTTTTTAAATTTTGAAACAGGATCTCTTTAAGTCACTAAGTTTCTCAGGCTGATCTTCTAACTTGAAATCCTCCTACCTCAGCCTCCCAGAGTGCTGGGATTACAGGAGGGCACCACCACACCCAGTTAAAACAAATATTTATTGAATATCTAATTATAAGCAGGCATTTGAGGATATATGCCCAACAGGAAGCAAATTCACTGGCTTTCTATCCTCTCCATTTACAAACAGATGAGTAAATAACTTGGTATAGGTAAATTGTGCACAGTAGCCCTGCTAAAAAGGAATGAATAAAAATGTCTAGGGGGCTATCTGAGCAGTGGGTAAAGGAAGGTTACAGTTCTGTAGAGGTCCTAAGCATGGAGACAAAATTAACCACCCCACGAAGAGGATCCCTGCTAAAAGGGCAGAAGCCAGGGCCCTGCAGCTGGCCCATGCTTTGCATGCTCAGGGAACAGAGGAGAACATGTACTGGGGCAGAGGGAATGGGGGGCAGGAGATGAAGAGATGGCAGGGGAAGGTCACACAGCATCTTCTAGGCCATGCTGAGCATCTAAGGAGTGCCTGCCCTTTGCAGGGTTTGGGGCAGGGTGTACAATACCACCAAGTTGCTGTGCCAGAAGGAAAGGCAGACTGAGTGCAGTGGTGCAAGCCTGAAACCCCAGTACTTGGGATGCTGAGGCAGGAGGATTGCTATGAGTTCAAGGCCAGCCTGGACTACATAGTGAGACCCTGTCTCAAAAAAGGAAAAACCAGGAAGTATTTTGGAAGTAACGCTGGCAATTATTGGTGACACATTTGCTGTGGACTGGAAGCTTAAGAGTAGGGCCCTCACCTCCAGGAAACTTCTGGATTTGATACATATTGGTCTCTCCAGGTGAAGTCCTCAGTACCAGGGCCTGGCTGGTCTCAGAGCCTATGACCAGGAAACTCTAATGGGTGGAGGTAAAGGTCAGTTTGAGGGAGGTGTGCATACATGTTTATTTTTGCCTGCCTGGCACCCATTTCCTGTTAGGAAAACCCCCTGCAATCAGTCCATAGAGTGGCCCATGCCTGAGCTGGCAGTGGGATACCATGTGCACCTTGGCCAGCTTTTCTTTCTGTTGGCCATGCTGACTGGAACCCAGGGCCTTGAACATGCCAGGCAAGCATATTACCAATGAGCCACATCCCTGCCCCAAACAGACTCTTTTCACACCACTTGCTGAGTTGGTGGGAGGGAACTCCAAGATGAGGATAGCCATTATGCCAGTGACAGGGACAGTGCCCTCCTGGGGAGAAAGCTGTGGTAAGCTCTGTTAGTTGTCCTCTCCAAATTGATCTCCCACATTCCTTGCAGAAGTCCTTGTTCAAGGATTAATGTGCTTGCCAGGCATGGTGGCTCATGCCTGTAATCCCAGCACCTGGGAGGCTGAGGCAGGAGGATCACTGCCAAGTTTGAGGCCAGCCTGGGCTACAAAGTGAGTTTAAGTCCAGTCTGAACAGCACAGTGAAACTCTGTCTCAAAAAGACAAAAGAGAAAACAAGTACTGAGCCCTACGAGGTGGATAAGGATGGGGGCAAGTAGTGGTTCTCAGGTATGGGTGTGTATTACCCGGTAGGCTTTGAATAATTTCACTCCCCAGTCCCCTGCCATGCATTTGGTATCAATCAGCACAGCCTGGGCTTTTCCTGATCAAAGAAACAGATGCAGCAGGTACATCCTTGCTTCCTGCCTAGGATGTACATGTGACAGCCCTGGGACAGTCCCTGGGTCACCATGAGGGAAGTCCCAGGAATTATGGAGCGGCTGGCAGTGACGTCACTGAGCAGCTGAAGTCGAGCTGGCAGCTGCCCTGCTGGCTACATTAGAGAGATCAATGCCTGGTTGTTGAAGCCACTGTGGAATGGGCCTTTCATGCTTGCAGCCCCAAAATCCAGAGTTCCCCACCCTTCAAAGCAAAGCCAAGAAAAGGGATGAACAGAGACCCATAAGATGTTTGACACTTGGGATCCAGGCCTTTGTAAAACTGCTTTTACTTTTCCATTTTTCTGTAATTTGAATCAATGTGTAACATTTTTGATTTGCCCAATTTGTCACTAGCAACCCAAAATGTTTCTGACTGACCTAAGGTCTCATCGCTCAGAGGCTGGACAGGTCCCCAGTTGGGAGTACTCACCCCCAGTGGCCACGGTGCCATAAGAGCCTCTGCATCCGGGGCATCCAGCTCTGGAACCTGCCATACCCCCCGTGTCCTCTGAAGACGAAGAAGTGGCTCTGGGGTGCTGAGGACCCCTGGAGGGATCTCACCTGCTCCATTAGTCTGTGGTAGGACCAGCCTGGGATGTGTAGGGTCCAGGAGGTTAGGGGTCAGAAGTGGGCAGTTGGATACAGGACTAAAGGCATAGAAGGGGCTGCCCAGGGACAGAGAGTCAGATATGGGGCTCAGGGCCTTGAGGGATAGGATTGGATGGAAGGGATTCTGGACAGGGACGTGAGGTGGAACACTGTAACCCAGCAGCCCTCACCTCTGCCCCTTGCTGGGGACTGTGGAGGCCATGTCCTCTGGCCAGGCCATCTTCAGGATGCTGAAACCCTGTGAGCCATGGTCTGGCCTCGAGCAGAGAGGAAGATAAAATTGAAGGTTGCCCCAGTTCAGGGGTAAAATGCAGAGTATTTTTTTTTTTTCTTTTTCATTGGTACCGGGGATCGAACTCATGACTGCTTGCTTGCAAGGCAGGTGCTTATGCCGCTGAGCTAAATCCCCAGCCCCAAAATGCAGAGTATTTACAACCAATATGGGAAGACCCTGAAGAACAGAATGGGCCCTAGCCTAACCCAGCTGTGCCAGGGCTTAATTCTTAAAATGCTGGCATTGGGGCATCTGGGGAGCCTAAGAAAGGCTGGTGTGTCTTAGGTTAGGGAAGGGTAGCTATTTGCCAAGGGTAGGAAACATTCCAAATTTTCACAACTGGGGCATCCATACAAATGTGGACCAACTCAGTAACACCCCTTGCTAAATCCAGAGCCTGGAAAATCTTGGCCCATTCCTATGGCACAACATATATCTGCTAAGCTCAAGTGACATGCCCTCCTTCTCCCTTTCCCGACCATGGCAGGGGTGCGGCTGGAATATTTTCTTTCAATTTTGTCTCATAAAAATTTACAAACATACAGAAAAGCTGAAAGAATTTCCTAGGGATCATCTGTCTGCCACTGCCTGGATCTGCCACAAACATTCTGGTACCTGCCACACCCCACTGTGCCTCTGTCCATCTATCCACCCATTCAGCCAGGAGCAGAGTCCAGGAGGGACTGTAACCAGGGGAGCACTCTAAGTGCTTTCCCAGCTGCAGTCTCAGCAATAGGGGTCCAGGGAAGAGAGAATGAATCCATCCCTACATCCAATATTCCTGAGCATAGGCCCACAAGTAGATGCCAGTACCCTGGGCCAGGCGATGAAGAGGACAGCCCTTTGCTCTAAGGGTCTCCATTCCTGGCTTTTTTTCTTTTGAGGGGGTTGCGATAGAGATATGACACTGCCCAGTATATCAGCCCACTGCCTATAGCCCAGCGTGTTGGAAGGAGGAGAGTAGGGGACAGTGGGAAGGAGAGGGTGGACAGGAGGGGGCAGATGTCCCCCAGGGCCCATGGGATTGGGAGGAGGACATGGATGGTGCTGGGCAGAGTTGAATGGGAGCAGCTGCCTGATACCAAAGGGTGGCAGCTGGGGGTGAAGATACCAGATGCTGGGTCCCTGGGGCCCCTACCTGTTCCCAAGGGGAGGCCCGGAGCAACAGGAAGTGAAAGTGTGCTCTAGAGAGGAAGCTGAGCAGGGAGGGGGAAGAGGCGGGGCTGGGGCATCTGAAAAGAATCTTCCTCCCTCTTTCCGGGGCTCAGGCCTCAAGGCTGGGAGCCCAGGGCCAAGAACTACCTGGGGTGCCCCTCTCAGCACCTAGGACCCTGGAGATGGTCTGCTTCTCGATGGCCCAGGACCTCAGCCCCTCCCTCCTCAGATGCCCGGAGAAAAGAACAGAGAGGCCACACCGCCAAGGGTTAGTTGGTTTTTTGTTTTTAATTTATCTCCAATAAGCAATGTCTTCTGCCCACCCCACGTGGGAAGTAGGTCCCAAGGGAAAGGGGCCCAGCACCCATCTGGGGTGATGGTGGCAGAGCCTTGGAAGACCTTCAGGCTCAGAATGCTCCCCACACCCATGGGGTGTTGTACTTTGCGGGCCAACACCCCATATGGGGTAGGTTAGATTTAGTCCACTTGGCCACAGGCCCTTGGGACAGTAGAGAGAGTAGGGGGCCCTCAACCCCTTGTCCTGTGACAGGAGTTTTAGGGTGTCCCTGGGAGCAGTTAGAGATTAAGGGAGGTAGCTTCTTACCTCTGGGATGGTTAGAGACCGGGGCTGTTAGAGACAGGCTGCTCAGGCCTTGGCCCCTAGGGGATGTTAGAGACTTGCTGGGGTCCAGTGTGGAGCAGCTGGGGCCCCAGTTTCAGGAGAGAGTGGTTTAGAGCCTGAAGGGATGGACTGAGCTCTTCAGACAAGGACTCCAGGTTAGGGGGGCTGGTATGGGTTGGGGCTCTGCCGTCCCAGAGCAGCTAGGTGTCCTGCTGGGGAGGTGGGCTGTCACTGGGGCTTCTCCCCCTCTGTGGTCCTGGCGTCTGCCTTGGCAGGAGGCGGAGACTTCCTGGGGGAGGTTGTAGTGCTGGGGTTGGAAGTGCTGGACCCCGACTGGGCATCTATGCTGGCGTGCTCCTTTCGGACTAGGTCTTCCAGCTCCTTCTGCAGAGGCAAAGTACGCACAAGTCAGAGGTCACAGACTGCAGGGAGGGGCTGAGTCCCATAGGCAGGGCTCAGGGTGGGCTAGGGTCACCCAACTTTTCACCTTCCATCCAAGGAGGTCAGCGAGGGCCAGGCAGCCCTGGTCACAGTCACCCAGCCAGGCTACGTCCCTGTGGAGTGGGCAGAAGAGTCAGAGCTTGGGATCCCCCACCTCGCCCTTCCAGCTGCAGCCCAGCCCAGGCCAGCCTTACCTGTAGGCCTTCTTGGAGTCAAAGTCCATGCCTCCTCCAAGGCCCATCATCATTCCTAGGAAGGGGTCCGTCTGCAGGGGAGGGGACAGCTAAGAGCACTGGCCCAAAGCCAGGTGGCCTGACTCTATATCCCAGCTTTGTGACTTCACTCTGGTCCCTGCTAGGCCCCTCTGTGCCTCAGTTTCCTTATCTGTATAATGCAGATATTCATGGACCCCCACCCCCCATAGGATAGTGGCGTCAGTAAGTTAAAACTTATCATATAAGCAGGCTTTCCATATCACTGGTTCTGCGCCTGCAGATTCAAACAGTGAGACAGAATAATTTTTTTTTTTTTTCTTTAGAGACAGGATCTCACTGTAGCTCAACTTAGCACTTGAGCTTAGTATGTAGCTCAGCCTGGCCTCGAATTCATGGTGGTCTTCCTGCTCAGCCTCCCAAATGCTGGGATTACAAATGTACACAACCGTATCTGTAATCCAAGCACTCAGGAGGCTAAGGCAGGAAGATCTCCACAAGTTTGAGGTCAGCCTGAATTTACATAGTGAGATATTATTTCCAAAAAAATTTTTTAAAAATGGTGTCTGTATTTAACATATATACTTGTTTATTTTTTCAGTACTGAGGATTCAACCTTGTCTTTATACTTGAGCTACACTGCTAATCTTTTTTGAAAATTTTTTTTTTTTTTGGTCTTTTTCATTTTTATCGGTACCAGGGATCGAACTCACGACCGCCTGCTTGTAAGGCAGGTGCTTATGCCACTGAGCTAAATCCCCAGCTCCAATCTTTTTGATTGATTCATTGATTTTTGATTTTTGAGACAGGGTATCACCATAAGCATAGTACCACCAATGCCCTGCATTTTTTTTTTTTTTTTTGAGATAAGGTCTCATTAAATTGCCCAGGCTAGACTCAAATTTATAATCCAAGTCAGGGATGGTGGCGCACACCTGTAATCCTTGCTCTTGGGAGGCTGAGGCAGAAGGATAGCTTTGAATTCAAGGCCCCTGGGCTAGCCCAGCTGCACCTTTTTTTTCTTATTCCCTAAACAGTACAGTACAACAGTTATCTATGTAGCATTGACACCGTAGTGGGTATGATAGTGGTGAACAGAGGATTTAAAATATATGGGTAGGGGATGGGGATTTAGCTCAGCGGCATAAGCACCTGCCTTGCAAGTGTGCGGTCGTGAGTTCGATCCCTGGTACTGATAAAAATGAGAAAGACAAAAAATAAAAAAAATAAAAAAAATAAAATAAAATACATGGGCAGATGTGTGTGGTTATAGGCACATACTTTGCTTCACGTTAGCGACTTAAGCATGCTTGGATTTATGTATCTGAAGGGACTGAGGAACTGGTCTCTTCTGTTATCAGGGGATGACTGTCAAAGGAAACAGTGTGTGGCCCATGGAATGACTGCCTACCTGGCATCTGGGCCCCATTTCCCTGTCAGGGGACTCCCCTCTCAGGGGGCTTCTCCTTGTAGCTTTAGCAGAGAACACTGCCTGGGAGGGGGGCCACCCACTGATAGCCAGGAGAAAGGGGGCAGAGGCCACTGCACTGAGATGCCTTGTGTCCCCTGCCATGGTTTTATGGTCCTAGGGAACATGACACCAGGCTTCAGCAGGTTTAAGCTGGAATCCTGTCATTTGTTCAAAAGGGTCCTAAATGACCCAGAGGTCTGTGGAGTCAGGCTGGCCAAGAACCTGCCCATCTTATTCTTGAATCCCAAGGTCTACACTGGAGAGTCTAAAGGCCGCTGCTTCCCATCTGGGAGCTCTCTGGGGCCTGTCCCTGGCTCACAGTCTCAACCCCAAGGAAGCCAGCGGGAGGACAGAGAGGGTAAGGGGGCAGGTGGGGGCAGTTGCCCAGGTGACTCACCTGGCCCGCCTTCTCCTTGTTGATGAGCAGGCGTGGGGTGGACAGCGGTGCCCTGGGGATGGTGAGCTGTGGATTGGGATGTGTTCTGGCCCCCTGGTCCCCAGCTGCCCCCCAGGCCTGAGCCCAACCTACTTGCCAATGAGAGAGGCAAAGGGCTGCACTTGCAGGGAGGTGCCCATGATGATGAGGAGGTCCACCTTCCGGAAGTCCTGTGGGGTAGCACCAGCGAGAGCCTACACCTCTGCCCAGCCCCCACAGAGGCGGGGCGCGACCTCCCACAGGGCGGGCCTTGAGTGGGGCATGAGTGGCTCAAGGTGGGGTACTTACTGACTGCATGTAGGAGAAGAACCTCGCTGGAAGGTTCTCACCAAAAAAGATGATGTCTGAGGTGGAGGCGGTGACAGACAGGACAGATGGACCCAGAGCCAGAGGAGACAGTGTCATGGAGACAGAGAGGGGCCAGCCAGAGAGACAGGACCCTCTCTCCCCAGGATAGTCGGTGCACCCGTCAGGGGGCAGAGGTGGGGAAGGTGGGAGTGTGGCTGTGGGAAGGCACAGAGGAGGGGACAAGGCCCAGATCCACCAGGCTGCTCCCTGACCCCGAGGCTCACCAGGCTTTACCACGCTCTGACATTTCTCGCACTTGGGGGTCACATCTGAGAAGAGCTTCTCTGGCATGGGCAAGGGGAAAGAGAGTTGTGAGACTGGGCTACGGCTGCAGTCCCCTCCTGTCCTTCCTTCCCCTCCTGCCCTTCTTCTACTGCCAGCACCAATACCCAGCCACTGGGGGAGTCTCTTGGGTATTGCCTTGTTCCCTTCCTCCTTTCCGGGGGTTGTGGGGTGTGAACCTAGGGCCTCTGCATGGACCTACATTCCCAGAACTTTCTATTTTTACTTGGAGACAGTGTTGCTATGTTGTTCAGACTGGCCTTGAACTTGTGATCCTCCTGCCTCAGTCTCCTGAGTGCTGGGATTACAGACATTCTCCATCATGCCTGGCTACAATTATTTTATTTATTTATCTTTTTGAGACAAAGTCTTACTATGAAGTTCAAGCTGGCCTTGAATTTACTTTGTAGTCCAGGCTGATCTTGAACTCGTAAAGATCCTCTTGCCTCAGCCTTCTCAGTGCTGGGATTACAGGCGTTTGCTACAACACCCAGCTTACAGTTATTTTAATATAGAATCAAGAGGTTTTTTCTTTTTTGGTACCAGGGATGGAACTCAGGACCTTGCACTTGCCAGCCAGGCACTTGAGCAACTGAGCTAAATCCCCAGCCCAACAGTTATTTTATTTTATTTTATTTTTTGTCTTTTTTTTTCATTTTTTATCGGTACCGGCGATCGAACTCATGACTGTCTGCTTGCAAGGCAGGCGCTTATGCCGCTGAGCTAAACCCCCAGGCCCCAAAGAAGCAGCTTTTTGCTCAGAACAGGTGCACCTGGGTTCCCAACTCCCACCTCAGGGCCCTGGGAGTGAAACTCTTCCTGCGGGTCCCGAGAAGCAGAGAGGCCTGGTGATTGCCAGGCCTGGTGGCAGCAAGGAAGAGAGGATATGCAGCTGGTCCTGGGATGGGGACAGAACCTTGAGGGCAGTTGCTTCCCACCCCCATTCTTTGACAGTTGCCTCCCTCACTGTTAATGGATAAGGGAGCTTGGAAGTGGACAGAGCTGGAACACAGGAGTCCAGCCATCCTCTCATTCTTTTCAGCCTGCGTCTACGGAGCACTGTGTCTAACACAGCCATTTAGGGAACTTCCATACGCACAGTGGGCTATCTTGTGGGTGGTGTGAGTGACACCACTGAAGGACGTAATGGGGTGATGGCCATTGTATGTCACCCCAGCTGTGTGCAGTTGGGTTGTTCATGAATCCTCAGCCCAGGGCAGTCGGCTGGCATTCTGTCAGAAAGGCCACCCTCCCCGGCCCCCTCTACAGATGCCACCACTGTCCTGAACTCATGTGGACACCAGAGGCTTTGTTCAGTCAGCATAAAGAGGGTCAGAGAGGGCTCTGGGGGTGAGACGGGGTTTCTCACACACAGTGCTATCAGGAGCAGGCTCTCAAGGCGTAAGACTGGCTGATTGTTTCTCCAGGACACTTTGTCCTTACATGGACATGGACGACGACTCCAGCAACCTTTGTCTATAGTCCTCACTCCAGCCCCAGCCCAAGTCCCTAACCAGGCCTGTGGTGAACTTCATGCCCCAGATTGTGCCTATGTTGTTCAGTGTGGCAGCCAAAGCCACATAGGACTTGTACAATTTAAATGAGTACAAATCTAAGAAGATAAGCTGGGGCTGGAATTTAGCTCACTAGCATAAACACCTGCCTGGCAAGCGCAAGGTCGTGAGTTCGATCCCCAGTACAAAAAAAAGAAGAAGAAAAAAAATCCAGGTACAGTGGTACACATGTAATTCCACCACTTAGGGAGACCGAGGCAGGAGGATCCCAAGCTGGAGCCCAGCCAGGGCAACATAGTGAGACCCTGTCTCAAAAAAGAAGAGATGTGAGGCTGTAACAGTGTGAAGGCCCTGGCTTCAATCTCTGGTAATGACCCCCAAACCTGTTCCTCAGTCACATTAGTTCTTTCCCTTCCCTTCCTTTCTCCTTCCTTCCTTCCTTCCTTCCTTCCTTCCTTCCTTCCTTCCTTCCTTCCTTCCTTCCTTCCTTCCTTTCTCTCTCTAGTACTGGGGACTGATGCAGGGAGCAATGGCAGACCTTTTTTATTTTGACACAGAGCCTTGCTAAATTGCCCAGGGTGGCCTCAAATTTGTGATCCTCCTGCCTCAGGCTTCTAAGTAGCTGAGATTGCAGGTGTGTGTCACCACACCCAGCAGATGCTACATTCAGGGGGCCAATAGCCACACGTTGCAAGGGGCTGGCACTCAGGTTTCCCTGATCTCAGAGCCCTATGGGCAGTGCTCTGCTTCCCAGAGTGGGGCTCATTTGCTTCTGTAGGCCTTGGCTGTAAGATGGGGTCAGGCATTCAAAAGGGGACACAAAACTAGGGTCTTATGACCTCAGCGTGCATTCAGGCCTGCCACTGTGTGTGGTGGAATTTGGTGCAATGCTCATACGCGTGGCAACCTGGCTGAGAGCTGGTATGCGTGCGTGTGTGCATCGTAACCACCTCGCATCTGGAAGCTGTTAATACCTATTAAAAAGCCAGAGAACCAAGTATGGTGGGGCACATCTGTAATCCCACATTCAGGGAGGCTGAGGCAGGACAGTCACAAATTTGAGCCCAGCTTGGGCAACTTAGTAACTTAATAAGATTCTGTTTCAGAAATTCAAAAAAAAAAAAAAAGTCTGGGGATGTAGCTTAGTATGAAGGCCCTTAGTTAAGTCCAAGCCCCTAGGAAAAAACACCTCAGAGTTAAGCAGGACAAAGCGGTGGCCACCACACGAGCGTGCAACCTTGGTCTCACCTTTTATCCAGTCCAGCGTGTACTCGTGCCGGCAGAGCGGGCTGGTACAGTGTGACGTGTAGAAGGTGCCGTGGGCCTCCACCAGGTCCTCAGGCTCCAGGCCGGCCACGCGCTCCAGGGTGTCGATGTTCTGGCAAGGAGGGAAGCGGGTTAGAACCAAACACTCCCACCCCTATCCGGGCCCCAGTTGGGGCAGGAGCCATGGGCAGGGGAGCAGGGGGCATTGTTGGCACTGGGGAGAAAGGACGGATGGGGAAAGGGAGTGGTGGCAGATGTGTCCATGTGTCTGAAAACTGTCCTGTCGCCCAGTGGGGCCACTGAAATGTCAATGGTCAGGGCTGTGTAAAGGCTGGCCCCAACTCACATGGCTGAGGCCAGTCCTGCTGCCACCTCCAGCTACAACGGCATTTTTCTGTCAATTGAGGCCACTTCTGTTTTTCAGAATTGTTTTGCTGGAGAGTCAGGCACCTTACTGCCAGAAATTGGATGAAAGGAGTGTACAAATCTACAGTGTCTCAGCGGCAAATGGAGCCCTGGGTCATGATGTTCCTGTGCGGTACCCAAACCTGCACACACTGGTCCCACAGTAACGGAAATAAATGAATCAGGGGGACTTCTCTGCTTTTCTCTTTGGTTGCTTTTGGAGACAAGGTCTCACTATGTAGTTCAGGCTGGCCCAGAGTTCACAGTGATTGTCTTCTCTCAGCCTCCTGAGTGTCAGGATTACAGGCATGTGTCACCACACCCAGCTCTCACTTGGTTCTAATTATGGTATTTTCTGACTTAGCAGTCAGAAGTCTTATTAGAATCTGTTTCACAGATGACATTTTAACCCATATTCTTATTTTTCTTTCTTTTTTTTTTTACAAAACCAGGGATTGAACCCTTTCAGTAAGAAACCACTTATTTTTTTGGGGGGTTGGGTTTTTGAGACAGGGTCTTGCTATGTAGCCCAGACTGGCCTTGAACTCACAGAGATCTTCCCATCTCAGTCTTCCCAGATGGAATTACAGGTGTACGCCACTATGCCTAGCAAGGAACTACTTTTTGTACAATCTCTACTGGCCAGCTCTCCTCCCCAGAGGCCACTGCTGTGACCTGTTTCTTATGTTCCCTTTGGAGTAATACTATAGCCACACAAGATAAAAGTATGCATCATGGTTACGTGCCACCTGATAATGTTTTGGTCAATTGTGGGCCACATATGTGATAGTGGTCCTAGAAGATTGTATTGCCTGGCTGGGTGCAGGTTGTGCCTACAATCCTGGGTCCTAGACTCTGGAGGCAGAGGCAGGAGAATCACTTGAACCCAGGAGTTTATGACCAGCTTGGACAACATGGTGACATCCTGTCTCAAATAAAAAAAAAAAAAAGAAGGGAGCGGGGTGGGGGTGGGGGCGCAGAGGTTCAGCTTACCATGGGCAGACCCTGGTTCAATCCCCAGTACCAAAACAAAAAGATTGTAGTGCCCAGTGACACTGTAGGAATCCAGTGTAAGTACACTCTATGGCTGAAGAACAGCAAAGCAGGCATCATGCCACATGCCTGTAATCCCTGTACTCTGAGAGAAGGCTGGCAAATAGGGAGACCCTTAAAAACTTTAAAAAAATAAATAATAATGGTTAGGGATACAGCTCAGCATGAAGGTCCTGGGTTCGAATCCTAGTGCTTACCCCACACCAGAGGGCTGAGGTATGAAGACCATTGTAAGTTCAAGACCAGCCTGGGTTACAAAGTGAGCTCAAGACCAGCCTGAACTCTACAGTAATACCCTGACTCAAAAAGACAGAACCAAACCAAAACAAAACTCTATGTGATCAATTAATGTGTTAAATATTATAGGTGGGAAGTTGGGTGCCAGAGCACCTGGAGTCCTAGAATTTGGAAGACTGAGGCAGGAGGACTTCTTGAGCCATGGAGCTTGAGACCAACCTGGCACCCTGGCAGTGTATTTACCCAACGTGAGTATTGACAATTAAAAAAGGATTTTAAACTGTAGTTACAGAGTAAATGTCTGCATATTTCAGACTGACCAACATCTCCATGTTGACTTTCTGGTCTTGTGCTCTCTGGTTAAAGATCAAGTTTTTTTATTTTGTTTTGGCTCTTTTTGAGACAGAGCCTTGATATGTTGCCCAGGCTGGCCTTGAACTCATGATCTTCCTACTTCAGCCTCCCAAGTGCTGGAATTACAGGTTGTGGTTCCACACTTGGCTTCAAGTGCTGGGGTGTTTTGCCTTCAAGAGAGCTGTCAGAAGCTGAGTGTGGTGGCTCACACCTGTAATCTCAGCACTCGGGAGGCTGAGGCAGGAGGATCGTTGCGAGTTCAAGACGAGCCTAAGCTACAAAGTGAGCTCAAGGCCAGCCTGAACTGCACAGCGAGACCCTGTCTCAAAAAGACAAAAAAAAAAGAGAGAGAGCTGTCAATAAGCCGGCAGAGTGGCCCTTCTGGGTGCTGGTTGCAAGGCCTCAGTTTCTCATCCTGGCCAATGAGCACACAAGCACCCACTGCTACTGCAGTGGGGACCTCTGAGCTCCGGCTCAAGCCCTGTTCCAGCAGCCTCCCTGTCCGTGTAGGTGTCTCAGCTTCTCATTCCCTCCTGCCCGACACCTGCACATCCACCCTCTCGGGAAAGGACAGCAGGTGCTTGGCTGGCCGCCTTCTTCCTTGCCACTGCAATCCACCAGGAAATCCCATGGCTGTCGTCACTGAAGATCCAGGAGCTGCCCACTTCACCTCTGCAGCCTCCTCTCCTCCCCTCTGAGCCCCAGGGCAGCCTGCAGCCTGTCCCTGCCACCCTCCCCTCCCTCTTGGTCTGTCCCCACTGGCAGCCAGAGGGAGCCTGTGTTCGCCTGAGTAAGGCTGCACCCCTCTCCCACCCAGAGAGCTCCCTGCCTCCAGCTGCTCAAAGGACAAAGTCCTCCCCAGCCAACTCACAGGGTCCAGCAGCTCCACCCCAGCACCTCCCTGACTGTGGCTCCGCTCCCTGTCTTCCAGCTCTCTTCAGTGCTCACTCAGAGAGATTCAGCCTCTGTTTGGTTTTAGTTTTCTGAGACAAGGTCTGGCTATGTAGCTCATGTTGCTTGAACTCACAATGTAGCCTCTCCAGTACGGGGATTACAGCTGTGTGCCACCACACCTGGCTTCTTGGGATTCTCTGAATGTGACATATACAGTGTCACCTCAGGACCTTTGCACTGGTTCTTCCTGTCACCTGGAACACGTTTCCCCCCATAGCTTCAAGGGTGCTTCCCTTGCTTCTAAGGTTTTTGCTTAAGAGTCCCCTTCTTAGTGAGGCCTTCTTGGCCACCTGATGCACATGGCCTTGATTCTTCTCTGTGTAATTGTGCTGCAGACACCTGTCCTTATGTGGCATGCTATGTGTGTGGCTTTTCCATATCTTATCCTTGTCACCTCCCACATGAATGTCAGCTCTAGGAAGGCAGGGATGTCTGCTCTGTGTACTGCTGGCAGGGTCTGGTGCTGGGTTGGACCAAGAGCGAACATTTGTCCTCACAGAGGCTGACAAGGGAAGAACACAGCATCATGCAGGGAAACCACTTGGCCTTGCAGGAGCTGTACTATCACAGCTGAGCCTTGGCCTGTGAGTAAAGCTGGCTCCCTGGGTCAGGTGTGTCCTGTGCTTGGGTGGCTCCTGGAAGGTGACAGTCCCCTCTCCACTGTCATCACAGCCGCTCCCTGCAGGGACTGCCCAATGTCACAAAACTGGATCTAGAAAGGACACATCCTCCCCCTGCTGGCAGCTTCTGAGGTTGCAGGTACCCGATGAGCCTGAAGAGAACAGGGTTAGGAACACCCCTTCCACTCTCCACTGCACAAAGTGGGCTTTGGGGGCCAGACTGATGGCACATGTGCATACAGCCCTGGCACATCCTGTCACTAGGCATGTATGGCTGGAACAAGGACAGACGCACCAACATTCTCCTGCTGGGGTGTGAGACTCTGGGAGTCTCAGGCCTGGTTCAGAAGCCGCTGGTGTGAGCCATCTTTTTTTTTTTTTAAACCCTTACCAGGGATTGAACTCGTGACCACACACTCGCAAGGCAGGCGCTTATGCCGCTGAGCTAAATTCCCAGCCCCTGGTGTGAGCCACCTTTGGCCACCTACCCTGACACAAGCCATATGGCCTGTGGCACAACCACTGCCAGGTTCCTCATTGACAAGAAATTATGACAAGAAACAATATCCCCCTGCTGGGAAACTGCTGGGGAGCTGCCACAGTGTGCTGGTTTTGTTGGCTCAAGTCTGGACTGTAATTGATGCCACTGGTGTCTTGTCAGATATGGGGTCTTTCTCTTTTTTTTTTTAACATGGGGTCCTTTTGCAGAGTGCGTGAGATGGCCTGAGGAGTCACTGCTACCTCTCTGAAACCTGAGGGCATGAAGCTATTCTGGCTCCTATTTTACACAGATGAAACTGAGGCTGAGAGGAAGAGAGTCGATACAGGTCCCACAGCAGGGAACTGATACGCAGAGCCCTCACCCTGGGCCTGCCTGGGTGGCCCCGAGCTCACAGGCATGAAGTCCTGTCTCTCCGAGAAGGTGCCCTGTCCTGTCCAGGCCCCGTGCCCGCGGTGCCCATAGCACCTGCTCGCAGGTGTGGCCTACCTGCGTGTAGCAGCGCAGGAGCAGCCCTTTCTCCTTCAGCAGGCGGATGAAGTAGTGACAGACGGTCGGCTGGAGGGGAGTAACGGCAACACTGACGGTCACGGAGAGCATTCACACGTTGTCACCATGTGCCTGGGACGGTGCTGTGCACTGTGTCTGTTTTTCTCCATGGAATCATCACAAGGCCCTCGGGAGGGAGACCAATGTCCCCCTTCCTCCACCCCCGCTCCACAGGTGAGGAAACCGGGGACGGTGGCCTGGCAAGGTTGCATGATCAGGAAGTGAAGAGCTAGCATTTGCAACCAGGCTGCCTGGCTCTGATGCTTTAACTCATTCACACCTTACAACAACCCCTTTCAGATACCAACTTTGGCTTCATGTTGCCCATGGGAAAAGTGAGGCTCGTGGTCTCAAGATGAGGTGCAGGAGCAGGAGCTAAACCCTGGCAGCCAGGCTCGGAGCCCACGTCCATGATGCCTCTCTAATAACTGTCCGCAGGCCCGTGAGGGGACCTTCTTGTGCCTGCTCTCCCAGCCCCACCGCCAAATAGGGTCTCACCTTGAACTGTCCAGGAAACAATTCCTTGGCGAGGGTAAAGAATGGTTCTGGATGTTTCTGTAGGAGACAGTGCCAGAGGGCCCGAGGCCCCAGGTGACATGAAGGTTGGAGCAGATGTGTCCCCCACCACACCCCTTGTCACAGACAGATAGATACCTTGAAATAGGTAATCTCAAAAATGGCCTCGGGATAGGGAAGGTGGTACTTCTCCAGGTTGGCATAGAGGCCGGTGTTTGGAGAGCGGAAGTCAGGGATGCCGGCCGCTGGGGGAGGAGGCACAGGGGACAAGTGACTGGGGGATGCTGGTCCCATCTACACTGCATTGACCCTCCTCCCAGACTGGACACAGACAGTGCCCTCCCTAGCTTGTGGGGGGCTTCCTCATTCCTGGGGGCAGCTGGGGAGGGGAACTTACATGTGGAGATGCCAGCTCCCACCAAACAGATGACCCTGCGACCTGGAAGACAGAAGGGCAATGTCATCATCTGATACCCTTTGCTCAGCCAATATCATCACAATGGGTGTGGGGCAGGCAGGTGAGGGTCCTCTGAGCACCTTCAGGGAGATGGTATTATTGGGCCTCATTTACAGAAGGGGACACAAATCTTGGAGCAGAAAAATGAACTGGCAGAAAGCACTGTCTGACTCATTTGTTTGTTTTCCTTGAGACAGGTTCTCCCTGTACAGTTCAGGTTGTGCTTGATCTCATAGGGATCTTTCTGTCTTAGCCTCCAACTGCTAGGATTACAGGTGTGCGCCATCACATCTGGCCGAGAATGCATTATTTGAAATGATACCAATGTAAGAAAACTCAAGAAACAGCTGGATGTGGTGGTTCACTGAGTTCTTGGGAGGCTGAGGCAGGAAAACTATAGTGAGTTCGAGGCCAACCTGGGCTACAGAGCACACTAGGCTCCTGGCTCAAAAAACCAAAACAAAAAACAAACAAGCAAAGAAGAAAAAGAAAACTCAAGAAGCGACCACATGACCAGAAGTTTCTCTTCCTAAGTAGTCTAGACAAAAACACATTCTCCAGAAAGAGATGCAGGTTAGTATAAAAATCTCTCAATTTGAGGTGTGGCTCAGTGACAGAGCACTTGCCTAGCAAGTGCAAGACCCTGGGTGTGTCCCTAGTGCCACCAAAGTCACAAAGCAACCACTCATCTTCTGGACCTGACCTCAGGTGACCTTCAATTTCTAGCACATTATACACATTTTCTCATCAAGATCCTTTTCGCCATAAGCAAATGTTTATCAGTGGCCAGAAGCCTGGTCATTTCCAGGCAAAGACCAAAGATCTGCCACCCTCAGCCCACACCCAGAGAAGAAGCATGGAGACTGAGCCCAACCTTGGCTTTCCTCTTCATGGGGAGCTTATAATTTCTATCACTACCTGGGGCTCTGACTTCCTCCTCTGTAGAATGAGTGTAATTATAGTGCTGGCTTCGCAGGCTCCTGAAAGAATGAATGAATTCACGTATAGCTTAGATCGGTGCCTGGTACCATGCAAACACTACACACCAGTGTATGTTTGACTTGTGTCCTTTGAGCCAATTGTACTGAACTTCTTGAGTATACACTCCTTGTATACATAGTAAATATTTTGTGCTTCAATGTGTACCAGTTGTCAGAAAAGAAGACAGGGAGGATGTGCTCACATAGATTCACAAACACACAGCTCAGCACAAATAGCCTTGTGTCGCCTCTACAAATGGCTGGCAGGCCGCCCTACCACACAGAGCCCTGGCATCTGCCCATCAGCTGATGGACAGATGCAAGTGTAACGCCCCAGGAGTTGGGCTCCCCCGTCTATGGAAGGCTGGCAAGGGCAACAGAGGTCAAGGCCTGCCACAGGTTGGGCCCTTGCTTCATCTGGGGTGCCCTCCGGCCAGCCTGGCTGGACTTGCTGGGGTGGAGATAAGGAGAAGTATGTGCTCTGTGTTCAGGGTACCTGGAAACAAATCTCAATTCTGCCGCTTGCTAGGTGTCTGACCTGCCCCATGTCACAATCTTTCTTGTCCCTCGGTTTCTTTCTCTGCCCAGGTTATGCTGTAATGACCTCACAGTTATAATGGGATGGTCAAATAAGCAGACTTCTGTAAACTGTGAAGGCTCAAATTATTTTTTCTTCTGTAGTATGGGGGATTGAACCCAGACCTCTGAGGCTGAGCTATATCTCTTGCTAAGTTGCCCAAGGTGAGCTTGAATTTGCAGTCCTCCCGCCTCAGCTGCCCAGAGTGCTGGGATTACAGGACTGTACCACCTTGCCCAGCATCAGTACAATATTTCCTCAGGGGCCAACTACCCCAGGATCCAGGTAAGGGGTGTAGGAGGAACGAACACTTTGTTAGCTGCTCTCTGGATTCTCTTCTAGCCATCCAGGCAAGGGGACGGCTGTGGGCAGTTGCCCAGCCGACCTCACAGGAGAGAGACGGCAGCAGCTGGAGGACGGGGAAACCAGAAAAGACATTCTCAACAAAGGGCTGTTCAGGATCCTCAAAAGGCCCATTGTGCTTGTTGAGAACTGCTGAGGCCTGGTTTCTCAGACTTTGGTGACTCAACTCACAGCAAGAAATATACATTTCATGGTGACCCGGCCAGCAGGCACCTACACAGCACACCTGAGATGCCTCCTCTAACAATCACCATGACAGAGGCTGGGGATTTAGCTCAGCGGCATAAGTGCCTGCCTTGCAAGCGTGTGGTCGTGAGTTCGATCCCTGGTACCGGTAAAAATACAAAAATACAAAAAAAAAAAAAAAAAAGAAAAAAGAAAAAAAAAAATCACCATGACAGACACATGCACAACTCTTGTGAGGTGCAGGCCCTGTAATGAGGTGCAGGCCCTGTAAACATTCACATTTCTCTTAGTGTGTTGGCCCTGTGTCATTGCATGAGGCACTGCTGTCCTCATTGGAGAACAGCACAGTAATTCTTTCAGCAACAGAAATGTGACAAAGGTCTGGCCAATCAGAGATGGGGAAACTGGTTCAGCTAGTCCATGGGAGCTGACCGCTATGGTTTTGCCTGGACCATGAGCAAGAGGTGTGGCCTTTGAGGAGTAGTTGCTAGGCTGGTAGCTCCAAACTTGCATTTGGAGCTGCCAGGAGTTAACTTTACCCCAACCCAGAGAAGTTGTAACTTTGGAGAACATGGGAGCCCCTGGGTGTAGCCATGCCTACGGCTATATTTTAGGGCCCACACATTCCTTTTTTGGCAAAGAGCTGCATATTTTTGCTACTCATAAGCGACAGGTGTGAAATCGAGGGGGGCCAGGAGGGCGAAAGTGGCAGGTGAGGGTGACTTACAGCGCTCGCTCTGCAGGTAGCGGGCCACCCCTTCCAGAGTGAGCTCGTCCAGCAGACGCTCCTTCTGGGAGCCCAGGCCCAAGGTCTGGGAGAAGAAGTTCCTCAGGAAGTTCACTGAATGAAAGGAGAGACAGTGGCTGGGTGGGTATTCAACAAAGAGGCATAGGATCTCCTAGAGCCCCCCAAATGGGGACCGCCCCCCCCCCCCATGGAAGGAATGATGCCTGGCCTAGCCCTGCTTGGCACTGGTACTGGCACCAAGTCCTTCACTTCATACTGTTTTGTTTAGTTTTCCTCACTCTGCCCTGAGGAACTTGCCATGTAGTTCAGGCTGGCCTCAGCCTTGTGATCTGCCTGCCTCAGCCTTCCAAGTGCTGGGATAGGCATGGGCCGCCATATCCAACAAAGTTACCTACTTTGAACATCACTCTTGGTGGAGGGAAGGGGGGTCCCCAGAACCTTGTTCTAAATGTGCACCACCCCCCCACTGCCCCTGAAGGAAGACACTCACTTTCTGCCTCTCCTCCAGATGCGCCTTCCTCGGATGCGCCTTCCTCAGGGTCAGAGTCTGTGTCCTGGAGGGGGTAGGTTGGGGTGGCTATGCCCAAGAGGCGGGATTAGGGAGAAAGGGGAGTGGGTGGGAGGTGCCGGATTTGGCGGGGAAGGCTCTGGTTGGGAGGTGGCTGGGGAAGCAAAGGGCAAAGGGCAGTGTGGCCAGTGTGCGGCCTGTGTGACAGGTTGCCTTGAGGAGACCTCACCCTGCTGCCCCTGAGGAGTGTGACCTCAAGAGCACTTTCACCTGCAGGTTCCTGTGCTCCTCATTTTCAGAACGGAGCACAGAGAGTGGAAGTGTCCGACACAGCACCAGCGCTCAGGGAGCCCTGGGCATTACTCTTGTCACATGCTGGCGTCCCTGTTTCCTGGAGAACGAGTCCACTGTCTCTCCCCAGCGGCCTTGAGAGCCTGCTTTGTGAAGGCAGCCCACAGATACCTGCCAGAGGCCTGGGGACCTTGCAGCTACAGCACTGTGGGACTCTGCCCTGGGCCCTTCCTGCTACCCTTTCCCACTTTCTCTGGCTAGCTGCCACATCTGCGCCAATGGCCTTGCTTAGTCACTGACGATGCCACTTTGCTGTCCCCAGACCCAGGGTTCCTGAGGCTTGACACCTCACGCATGTGACCCCCCAGGCCTCTCCCTTCCTTCCTGTCTCAGACTGGCCTCAGCACCTTTCCCCGACCTGACCACCTGACCAGGTTGCTCCACCTGACCCCTTCCTATGTGGCCTCACTGTCCCTCAGGCTGCCTCCTGCCTCGCCCTTCGGCCACAGGCACAGCCTTGGCTCGCCAGGGCGTCCTGTCCACTCAGCTGCCACATGACAGCCTGTCCGCATTCCCCCACTCCACAGGTCCTTCTCTGGCTTCTCCAGGCTCACCCTTTGATCACGAACATCTCTACAACGTACCAGGCACGGGGCTGTGCGTATTCACCACTGAACAGCCAGCTCTGAGGGCAGCACTTCTGGAGCATCCTCTACCGAACACGCCTGGTGCTGGCTGGACCCATACTGGCCTATAGCAACACTGCCAAGTGCTGCCTATGCCTTGGCCTCCTGTGCTAGGCCCTCCGCCTGCCCCTTCCTCAGTCATTCACTACTCCGGTTCTGAGACTTTCTGAATGAGATCCTCCCTTGCAAACATATGAAAAACTGTTACCAGTTTTAAAGATTACACAAGATTTGCAAAAGCTCTGGCCATAGACATATAACACAGGCACTTGCCTTGTGATTTCCCCCACCCATCCCACTGAGAGGACCATTATCAACAGTGCAACAGTAGTTACTCCAGATTTGTTCTCTGTGTATAAAAAACTCATTATTAATATTACTTTTACGGAAATAAATCATGGTACTGTATTTTCTACTGAACAACACAGCACAGATCCACCTTGTTCATTTTAGTAGCTATACAGTATTGCTCTGTACTGATGAACCAAAGTTCACATAAGCCATATTTTTACAGCCGTTTGGGCTGTTTCCAGACTCGCCCTAATACGGACAATGCTGGAATTCATATCTTCGTGTTTCTTTAGTATTGAAGATTCATTTTGACCAGGAGATCTTTTCTCCGGCCATAGTCATGCTCTGGGACCCAGGCCAGTGGGACACTAAGGACTGACAGGGAGCTATCATGTCCTTGACTTGGCTCTGCTGTTCCTTTGTGGGTAATCACAGCTCCCTCTCACCCTTTTTTTTCAATACTAGGGATTGAACTGAGGGCCTTTATACTAAGCTACATCCTCATCTCTGTACTTACTTATGATCCTCCTGCCTCAGCCTCCAAAGGGCTGGAGGGACAGGCATGTGTACCACACCTAGCCTAATCACAGCTTCTCACCTGCTTGTGAGGAGTGTGGGTTGGCTGGCATTTTGTCAGAGGGTAGACAGTGAGACATTATGGAGAACGGAGGCCTCCCCAGCATGTGGGAGTGGGAGATGCTGGCAGGCACCTTCAAGCATCCTTTCCCTGCAGCGCAGAGGGCAATGCACCCAGTGCCATGGGTCTCAAACCTTCCCTTTTACTCTACCAAAGAACAAGTTACAGCTCAATTTCCTTGTCTGTAAAACAGTTGTGGTTGGCCTTATTCCTCACAGGCATGCTGGGTAGATTAAAGGAGACAGTGCTCAAGAAGCATCTAGCAGAATTCCTGGTTGGGGTAAGTAGGCAATCAACACTAGCCATGAGTCTCATTCATTAGTCACCCAACCACCAAAGCAATGTATCACACACTTTCCTGCCCCAGATCTCTGCATAAGCTGAAGCCTCTTCGTGGAACACCATTTCTGACCTCTAAGAAAATTCCAAGTCACTCTGCACTTACTACATAGTATCTATAGCTCGGCCCAATTTCTAGAGCAGCCTGTGGGTTCCTCTAGGAGGAGTCTTCTCTGAACCACAGAATTTGCTCTGACTCCTACGATGCCCTGAGTTACTTTCACAGTCACCCTATAGGGTCATTTTCTTGTCACTTGTCCATGAGACCTGTGAATTCAGGAGCCAAGCTGGTGTCTGTCTTTTCCAGGCTCAGCACAAATGAGAAGGAAATGGGGTTGAAGTGCTCAGAGCAAGGAAAGAGGAAAGTTTAGGAGGACAGATCTGGGGTTGAGGGGCACACTTCTCTGATGGTCCCCAGGAAGCTGTGCCAGGTGGGGTTAGGGGAATGGGCCGAGGGTCTGGGGGTAACATTCTTCCCTCTGCCACCTCCCGCCCATGTGGGATGGAGGAGCAAGTCCATCTCTCTCCTTCCCTCCACCCTTTCCCCATCTCACCTGAGCCTCCTGCACCTTCCCTGCCTGGGTCTCCAGAGGGTCAGAGGCTGGGGAGGAGGGGGAGCAGATGTGGTTATAGTGCGGGGAATGGTTAAGTAGGGTACAAAGGGGTTCCAGTGGCAGGTGGGGCCAGAAGACCTACCAACCTAGTTACACTGGGGTCAGGTGGTGGTAAAAATAAAGGGGTAGGGTAGAGCAAAGTGGATCTTGGGGGGAAGGCTAGCTGTAGAGGTGGTTAGTGAGGGTGCAGAGGCTGAGAACGAGAAGGTTTAGTTGGAGAAGGAGGTATCAGGGGAGACATGGCTGAAGGAAGACTTAAGAGGAGTTAGAAAGATAGTGCTTGAGTGTCAGAGGGTTAGGTTTACAAAGCAGAGAAGTTTGTCAAGAAGAGAATAGATAAGAGAGATAATTCGGCAGGGAGGCAGGCGTAGGAGAGAAGTGCAATGGAGATGGCGGGTTTAGGAGAGGCAGAGGAACTAGAGAGAATAGGATGAAACACCAGGGGTCCTCCCCTCCCAGCATCCTACAGTTGCCCCTAAAACCAGGTACCCTTAGCAACTGGGATCGCGGCCGCTTACATCCTTAGTAAAAAGGGTCTTTAGGCAACCAAAGTGCGAGAAACACGCGATCGTTAGAAACGCAAACGGACATGCTAAATGGACCCTTAAAACTCGCGACCCAACCCGCCAACCCAGCAATATGAACAATTTAGCAATGGCCCACGGAATCCCACTCCCTTCATGCAGCCTCCAGGTCCCGCCTACCGCATCTGCCCTCGGGCCCCGGGGCCTCAATCCTCAGCCAGGCCCCGGCGCGGCCCGACCCTCCCACCAGGGTACCCGACTCACGGTCCGGCTCGGCCATGGGCGCGGGGTGGGGGCCCTTGGGGCTGTCACCGACCGCTCTGTCCCGTGACGGCACCGGAAACAGGAGGGTCAGGGATAGGGTAAAGAACTACAACTCCCAGTAGCCATTGCGGCCACATGTAAAAGTTTACTCATTGCCGCGCTCCTCCTTTAGGATAAAGCCGACACGCGATGACCGCACTACAAGTCCCAGAGACCCTGGCGTTGGCAGCCATGTTAGTAAAGGGCGTCCGGAAAATGGGGGGACTAGCGAGCCATAACCTATCTCAATACTCTGATTGGTCATAGTACAGTAGGGGGCGGGACATGAGCAATTTACTTCACTCTGATTGGGTAAATTAGGGGGAGTGTTGGGGAATTCCCAGTAGGGCGGAAGCGCCGGAGCTCCCCGCAGAGCCCAGACAGGCGGGTGGCCGGAGCGGGTCACAGAGGTTTTTGGGACCATGGCTGGGGTGGCGTTCTTGGGGAAAACTGCGGACGCTGATGAATGGTGCGACAGCGGCCTGGGCTCTCTGGGTCCGGACGCAGCGGCTCCCGGAGGTTCAGGATTGGGCGCGGAGTTGAGCCCGGGGCTGTCGTGGGCGCCCCTCGTCTTTGGCTACGTCACTGAGGACGGGGACACGTGAGTGAACCTTAGACTACCGAACGGAACCCTAGACTCCAACATCTGTTTCTTATCAGTCTCTGATCCCTATGGTTTCCTAACCTTTTACTCCTAAGTCTGTCTTCCGGCGCTGGGTTTCCCGATCTGTAGCCCCAAAGCCCTAAATTGTAACAGAAGCGATTTCCTACTTTCATCCAAACTGAGACATTTCAGACTTTCTATTTTCAACTCCTAGAATCCACCACATCCTATGGACTGATCCCGAAACTCGATTTCAACTTTCCGGACCCCAGCCTGGTGATCTTTATTAAAACACTGGCTCTGGTTCCTTCTGACCTTTAACCTCCAAATAGGATCTTTATCCTTAGCTCCTCCTTAGCTCCCCTTAGACTTTAATTTCCAAAAATAATACTTTCCCTTGACTCTGCGATCTTGTCTTGTGAACACTGATGTTCAAATCTTAAATTCAAAGCGAGGATGTAAGTTCCATGAGAACAGAGATCCATCTGGTGACTAAATACTTCTCACATACTAACACGTTTCAGACCTTATTTTAGATACAAGTGGTATGGCAGTGAGGAAAACAGGCAAAAACCTATCGTTATGGATTATATATTTTAGTATGAGCTATATAGAAAGGTTGTCAGGAAGGAAAGGAAAAAAGAAAAGAAAGATATTAAGAAAAGAGACATTAGTAAGTATATTGAATTAAGCAAAAATAATGCAACATACCAAATTCATAAGAAATTTCAGGGTAAATTTATAGCATCCAAGAGTTATATTAGAAAGGTTCTTAAATCTTTTATTTTGGAAAGTTAAAGACACAGAGAAAGAACTAAAAGACTGTCGAAAGCAATAAGTGCTTTTAAAAAAAAAAGTGAAAAATGAGACACAAACCGAGAGGAGAACATTCTGGGCAGAAAGAACAAGTTTTAAAGGCCCACACGTAAGGGACTGTACGCGGGCTTTTTTCTGCTGTGTTTACTGCTATATCCCCAGTGACTCAAGGCCTGACCTATACACTCATTAAACACTGATCTCAAAAAAATAGCTTTGGTTTCATTAATTTTCTCTATTTTCTTTTCTTTCTATTTTATTGGTCCGCATTCAGACACTGTTATTTTCTTCCTTCTAGTTACTTTGGGTTTAATTTGTTCTTGTTGTTCTTTTTGTAGTTTTTAAAGCAGAAGCTGAGGCCACTGATTGGAAACCTTCTTTACTAATGTAGGTGTTGGGTGCTACAAATTTCCCCTTGAAGTTTCAGCAATATCTCCCAAATTCTGATATGTTGCATTTCTATTTTCAAGGAATTCAGTGTGCTGCATTTATTTATTTATTTATTTATTTTGTGATTCAGACTGGTGTTGAACTCACTATGTATCCCAGGTTGGCCTTGAACTTGCAGTGAACATCCTGCCTCAGCCTGGGATTACAAGCATGCACCACCAAACCTGGCAATTCAGTGTACTTTCTAAATTTCTCTTTTGATTTCTTCTTTAACCAGTGAGTTATGTAAAAGTATGTTATTTAGTTTCCATATGTTTGGAAGAATTTCCATATATTTTTGTTTCTGATGTTTAATTTTATTGTGGGTAAAGCATATACTTCATATGTTCTAAATTAGATTTATTGAGATTTATCTTGCAGTCCCAAATACTGTATGTGCACTCAAATAGAATATAAACCCTGCTGTTAAGAGTAGTGCTCTCTAAATGTCATTTAGAGGTTGTGTTGCTGACAGTGTTAATTCAGGATGACTATAGTAATTTTCTGTCTGCTTCTACCAATTATAGAAAGAGAAGCATTGAAATCACCAACTATAATTGTAAGTTTATTTCTCTTTGTAGTTCTGTTAGGTTTTACATTGTATAATCAAAGCTGTTATCAGGACCACAGCGATTAGGATTGTGTTGTTGTTGTTATTGCTGTTCTGGTACTGAGCCTTCAAATAAGGTCTTGTGGGCTGGGAATATAGCTCAATAGCACAGGGCCTGCCTGGTAAGTGCAAGGTCCTGAGTTCGATTCCTGGTAGCAAAACAAAACAAAACCAACAGGGTCTTGTGCATGCTAGGCAAGCCCTATATCATGAAGTTGTACCCTAAGCCTCTCTAATTGTTGGTTGGTTAGCTAAAACTTATCATTATGAAATTATAGTCTAGCCAGGTATAGTAGCACAGGAGGATCACAAGTTTAAGCCCAGGCAGGAAGTTAGCAGTTTAGCAAGAATCTAGCTCAGTTAACTGACACTAACATGGCATATTTTTTTCGAACATTTAAATTTTATTTATTTGTTTTTTGGTATCAAACTCAGGACCTTGCGTTGCAGGCAGGCACTGTGCCACTCACTGTGCCACTGAGCTGTATCCCCTGCCCTACTTTTTAATTTTAAACTACTTAAAAATTTTTGTATCTAAAGATAATTTCTTGTTGATAATATATGAAGTATGATCTAAATATATGATGAATGTTTAAATTTAAAAAGTATTTACTGTAGTAAAGGACACATTTCTACTAATCCCACTCTAAATGCTCCTCCTTTCTCTGAACACGCTTATCCCACTGTTCTGCCACTTCCTGAAGCAGTTCTAGAAGTTCTCTTTCATGAGCATTTTTATGAGGTATGATTAAAAAGTACAGTGAATGCTTCTGCCAGGTACCATCTAGTGGAAAGGCAGGCTTGTAAAAATACATCCACCTTGTTCACCATATCAGGCACTGTGCTGCATGCCTTGAACCCCAACTACTCAGCAGTGGATGACAAGGAGGATTGTAAATTGCTAGTGCAGCATGAGCTGCACAACCTACCATGACCTTGTCTCAAAATAAAAAGCTAAAAGATTGCTATGTAGTTCAGGGTAGAGGCCCTGATTTGAACCCCCATTACTGCAAAAGAGAGGAAAAAACTCAACACACATCACACACACAAAACAAACTAGGGTGACCTTCTTTATCATGAAGATGTGGCTCCATCGTATATTCTCATGTGTTTCTTATGTGAAATCTCCAGTCATTCCTATTTTTCTTTTGTGTTTTTTTTTTGTTTTGTTTTGTTTTGTTTTTAAGGATTTTTTGTTTTTCAGGTTTGGTGCTAGGGACCGAACCTAGAGCTTCCAGCTTGCTAGGCAAGCATTCTACCACTGAGCCAAATCCCCAGCCCCAGTCATTCCTATTTTTATTCCTCTCTACTTATGATGCTTTTTCTCTAGCTTTTTTTTTTTTTTTTTTTTTTTTTTTTTTTGATATAGGGTCTTACTGTTCTGGGTGGCCTTGAACTCACTGTAGTCCAAACTGGCCTTGAACTGATCGAAACCCTCCTACCTCAGCCTTTCATATGCTGGGATTATAGGCATGTACCATGTCTTAGTTACTTTTTACTCATCGCTGAGACAAAATACCTGAAGCCCAAGTTGGGAAAGGAAAGGTTTATTTCTTACAGATTTTGGAGGTTTCAGTCTACACTCAGTTGGCTCCAAGGTAGGCGGGCATGGCTGGGCCACAGTTCATGGCCACTGCAAACAGCAAACAGGAACCAGCAAAGAGAGAGACAAACCTTCCTGCCATTACATCACATCCTGGCTCCACCCCTATGTGGGTGTAGCACTGACACCATCAATCCAAGCACTAGACAATGAACAAATAACAAATGCACAGTTCAAACTCCTGAGGTCTGGGGGCCACAGACATAAACCATGACATACCACCATGCCTGACTTCTGAAAGGTTTTTTTGGAGGGGGCGTAGTTTGAGACAGGGTCTCATTATGTACTTCAGGCTGGCTTTGAGTTCATTTTGTAACCCAGGCTGGTCTTGAACTCATAATGATCCTCCTGCCTCAGCCTCTCAAGTGCTGGGATTATAGGTATGTGCCACCATACCTAGCTGTTTCTGGATGTTTTTAGAAGTTTTGTCTTTTTTTATTTTTTTAAAGACTTTTGTCTTTATCACTTTTTTAACAATTGATTTTTAACAATGTGCCTATGATAAACCTCACAGTTTTTCTTCACATTCCCTGTTTGTAGGATTCATTGAGCTTCCTGAATCTGTGGGTTTATAGTTTTTATAAATTTGGAAGATTTCCATCTATTATTTCTTTCTTTTTTCTTTTTTTTTTTTTTTGTCTTTTTCGTTTTTATCGGTACCAGGGATCGAACTCACGACTGCCTGCTTACAAGGCAGGTGCTTATGCCGCTGAGCTAAATCCCCAGCCCCCATCTATTATTTCTTGTAATGTTTTCTCTGCCTTTCTCTTTAGGGGCTTCAGTGAAACATATACAAGGTATCTTGAAGTTGTCCCATAGCTCACTAATATTCTCTCTTTGGGATGGGTTCTTGATGTTACTGTATGGCTCAGGCTGGTGTTCTCAAACTGCTGGGCTCAAGAGATCCTTCTGAGACCCAGGCAGAAGGATCTCTTGAGTGTGAAGCCATCTTTGTGTTACATAGTGAGTTCAAGCCAGCCTGAGCTACACAATAAGACCCTATCTAAAAGAGAGAGAGGGAGAGAGAGAGAGAGACAGACAGACAGAGACAGAGAGAGACACAGAGACAGAGATTGAGAGAGAGGGGTCCTTCTGCCTCAGCTTCTCAAGTCACTGGCACAGGCATTCATTAGCATTGTGTCTTAGTTACACTTTTATTGTTGCTGAGGCAAAATACCTGGCACCCAAAGTTAAAGGAGGAAAGATATAGTTAGTTCACAGTTTGTATTGGTTATAGTCGATAATCAGCTGACTCCAAGGTAGAATGGCACATAGCAGAGGGACAGTAGTTCATGATGGTGAAGACAGCAAAAGCAACAACAGAGAGTGCGTGAGACAAGCTTCTTTCTGTCCCTTATATTGTATCCAGTCTACTGGGATTAGGGCAATGCCAATCCAATCAGTGGACTAATCCAAAAGTCACCCACCCTTAATCCCACCATTGCGCTAGGAATCAATCACACACTCTGGATTCAGCCACCTCTGAAAAACTGTATGACCACATGAGGCTTTTGGGAGACATCTAGACACAAACCATAACACGTGCCATGCTCATTCTGGATAGTTTTTATCATGTCTGCAAGCTCATCCAACATTTCTTCTGTAATGTTTTGTTAATCCCAGCCATTGCTTTTTCATTTCAGATGCTACCGGGTCTAGGAGTTTGATTTGAGCATTTTTTTTCTATCATCTGTGTCCCTACCTAACTTTCTGAGCACATAGCATGCAGTTACTTTGATATTCTTGCTTGCTAGTTCTAACACCCATGTCATTTCTGGGTTTGTTTCAGTAAGTTTATGATTCTCATGATGGATCATTTTCTTGCATACCTGATTAACTTTGATTAGAAAGCCAGACATTGAGAAGTTTCCGTGTTAGGTTAGGTAATTCTGTTTTCCTATAACTATTCCTGGGAATTGTTCTGGGATGCAGTTAAATCACTTCAAAGTAGTTTAACCCTTTCTTGAGTAGTTTGATCCTTTATTATTTGTTAGGTGTGTACTGAGCCATGTTCCTAAGATTTATTATTCCCCATTTCAGAAGCAAAACCTTCCTGAGCATGACAGTGTCATGTGAATGACCAGTTGCTCTAGTCCAGCTGGTGGGGAGCCACTATTCTGAGTGAATCATGAATACTTTTCTTTAATCCTTTTGGGTGATTGTCCCACCTCCATCCCTGGACTCACTCACAGACTCTGCTCAGTGCCTGGGTACTTGTTGGAACCCTCTGCCAATGTCCAAGGCTCTTTCCCTGTGCATCTCTCTCTTGGGTACTTGGCACTATGACTCAGCATCTTGGTTTCTTCAGACCCTCACTTACAACCTGAGACCCTTTCTTCCGTTCCCTGTCTCTGTACCCACCTATGGCTTGGGCATTCTTTCCAACAGTAACCTGTGGCAGTCAATTGTAGAACTTTACCTCCTGTTCCCTGTCTTTCAGGAATTACTGTGAATTTCTAGTGTCTTTAAAACTATTGCTTCAAGTACTTTTTTTTTTTTTCTTTTTATTTTCAGTTGTTTCTGATGGGAGAGACATTGGTCATACTGCTTCATTTTGAATGGAAGTGAAGTCCCATTTAATAAACATTGATTAATCTGCTCTAATGAATTAGCTGTGCTCTCTGAGCCTTACAGATATTGACAGCTCTTTCCAGAACTGCGGTCACAATGCTTAGGATGGAGTAGATGCGCCATGTTTGTTGTGGGCATTTGCAGTATTTGACCCTGCCCTCTGAGCCCTGTCTTTGTCCCCAGGGCACTACACTTAGCCGTGATTCATCAACATGAGCCCTTCCTGGACTTCCTCCTTGGTTTCTCCGCGGGCACTGAGTATCTGGACCTGCAGAATGATCTAGGCCAAGTAAGCCATGGGGGGACAGTGCAGAGTGTTGGGTCAGGTGTCCTCTGTGTGACCTTAACCTCTGTTCTCTGCTCCTGTAGACAGCCCTGCACCTGGCAGCCATCTTAGGGGAGGCATCCACGGTGGAGAAGTTGTACGCAGCAGGCGCAGGGTTGCTAGTCGGAGAGCGCGGGGGCCACACGGCTTTGCACTTGGCTTGCCGCGTGGGGGCACCCGCCTGCGCACGCGCACTGCTGCAGCCCCGCCCTCGGGAAGCCCCCTATACCTACCTCACACAGAGCCGAGACCACACCCCCGAAACCTGCCACACACCTGCTACCTTGCACCCTGAAGCTGAGTTGGAGGAGGAGGAGAGTGAGGAGGACTGGAAGCAACAGCTGGAGGCTGAGAACTACGAGGGTGAGGGTTGGGAAAGGACCCCAGCCCCTAGGCAGGGCTGGGCACCCATAGGGCTTAGTACTTGGCTCTGGGCTCAAAGCCTTTCCAACTCAAAACCCAGCCCCTTGGAAAATCAACCCTGGGCTTCAAGGACTCTGGTATCAGGATCAAGGATCTCCACTCAGACCCCAGATAATTGAGATGGGACAGATGGGATCCAGGATGGTGGCTTCAGACCAGTTGGGACCAAGTCTAAGCCACCAAGATCCAGTGGTTGAGCCCAGGCTCCCACCTGCAAGGTGCAATCCATCCATCCAAGATCACTGTTTTTACACCTGCAGCACAGACCCTGCCCACTCAGCACTTGGGGATTGAAAGCTTGGGCTTTGAGGGACTCTAGCACTCCAGGGTCCCAGTCCTAGGCAGCAGGGTGCAGGGCCAGCAGCCTCCTCCACCAGGCCTCATGGGAAAGGACCTGTCTTCCATGGCCCTGGCTTCTGAGTCTCAGCTGCCCCATCAGGAAGCCCAGCCATCTGGGGCCACTCCACAAATGGATGGAGGTCATGTGGTATTCAGAGCCCATCCTCTTACCCAAGGTCACAAGCTCTTCGGATGCTCAGGTCCCAGATGCTGTGTGAAATAAGACCAGAGACTCGGGTGTCCTGACCCCAGGGTTCTGGGCTCTCATTCAAGGGCCTCTGACTCCTCACCTTTGGGACCCATACATCCTCCTGCCAGGGACTGGTGAGGACCCTCAGACCACCCGAGAGTCAGGCATCGAATGTCCACATCTCTGGTCTACCTGGGATGGCCCCCCACTAGGGTGATATCACTGGTGGCCCAGAGACCTCACTCCATTGTCTGACACCAGTCACTCTCTCCCCAGGCCACACGCCACTCCATGTGGCAGTCATCCACAAAGATGCAGAAATGGTCCGTGTGCTCCAGAATGCTGGAGCTGACCTCAATAAACCGGTGAGGCGCTGTAGGGGGCAGGTGTGTGTGGGGGTGTGTGTGGGGTGTGTCCTAATCAGGCCCAGTGACTTCTGCTATATGCCATAGGAGCCCACGTGCGGCCGGAGCCCTCTGCACTTGGCAGTGGAGGCGCAAGCGGCCGATGTGCTGGAGCTTCTCCTGAGGGCAGGTGCCAACCCCACTGCCCGCATGTACGGGGGCCGCACCCCACTGGGCAGTGCCCTGCTCCGGCCTAATGCAGTCCTTGCTCGCCTTCTCCGTGCCCATGGAGCCCCTGAGCCTGAGGATGAAGATGAGAAGGCTGGCCCCTGCAGTAGCAGTAGTGAGAGCGACAGCGACAGTGACAGCAGAGATGAGGGCGTGAGTCAGGAGGAAGGTGGGAAGTGGGAGGCAGCCCAGCACGAGTCAGGAAAGCGAGAAGGTACATAGGTGACCCTGAGACCAGTGGACCTTGGGCTGCTGCTGTAGGGAACTCAGCAGCTGTGGGAGTGATGTTGACAGTAGTGGGTACTGGATGGGGTGGCAGGAAGAACTTGGGCACAAGTGGAGAGATCTTGGTTATAGAGAGGAGTGGAGACAGCTTGGGGAGGGATTTGAGGGCATAGGAGTTAATGAACTCAGGCCACAGGTGGTGACTGTGGCAGCAGGGATTAGAACACGACTGCCAGGAGACAGGAGGAGAGGTTTTACTGGAGAACCCAAGTGGTAGCACACTGGCAAGGGACCGTGGAATGGGTAGGGGGCTAAAGAATTTGGGCCAAGGCTAAAGGTTGGAAGAGGGACCTCCAGTTGCTTGTGAAATACAATCCCAGACTGTGTGGCAGGGGAACCCAGGCCTGGGAGCTGGGACCTTGGAAAAGTGCTTTGAGCACCAGGCATGGGGAAGTTGAACCAGGAGCAGGGGAACTGGGTTTTGAGGCAAGACCAGATCTGTATGGTGTTGTGACTTGGGCAATGGGCAAGGTGGCAGCCGCCTGAGCCCCTCTGCCACCCGCTCTACTTCTAGGATGAATATGATGATATCGTGGTCCACAGTGGAAGGAGCCAAAGCAAGCTACCTCCTGCCCCCGCGTCCACACCTCTTCCTGACGACCCTGACCCCATCTGACTTGTTAATATAGTTGCCAGTTTAATAAAACCTCCATTCTGACAATAGAGCCCCGACTGATGTGCCCTTTCCAGTCCTCTGGGTCATTCTGGGGCTCCCCGCTCGCCAGAGTCAAGGCTGCACAATCCTTCGTGGTTTTCTTTGTGCTTTATTCACGCAGAAGGGTGGGTGCAGTGTGGTGGGGGTCATGGTGTTTCCTGGGTGGACCCGAGTCTAGCCCCCACCCAGCTTAGACCCCCTCAAGCTTGGTTCCTAGGTGCCCCCTTCCTCCCTCCCCTGCAGGTTGGGGTGGAGTGGGCGCCACGTTTGGGGTCAACAGTCCTCCGCTGTAAGGACACTTTGGGGAAGGAGGAAGGGATGAGGTGGGTCAGCCCTCCCTCCGGAGCGCCTCCCCCAGCATCACGGTGGCCTTCTTCAGCTCATCACTCACACGCTCCAGCTGCTCCATGTCACGTCCCTGGTAGGGTCAGAAATAGTGATCAGTGTTTAACTGCAAAGGCAAGCCACCTCCTGCAGGGGTCACCTGTCACTTCTCACAGTGGCAGCCCACAGCGGTCATCCAAGTCTTGGTGGCATGTAATGGGCATGTTTGCCACAACCTGGAAGTCAGGTCTTCACTGTCTGCTGTACGGGACTACCAAAGGCACCAGCTTGGGTGATCCATTTGTGATGGGATGGCCACTTTGGTTAGTGCCATCAATCCTGGCGACATCTTACTCTCCATTACCCAGCAGTGGTGTCAGACTCTAGCCTAGTGAACCTGCCACAGCAGCCACTTCCTGGTGGCCAACTTGCTGGTTACACAATGGCAGGAGTGGCTAATGGGGCAGTAATGATGGCCTTCCCAGTGACTGTAAGCCCAGATGGGAAGTACTTGAGCCCACGGAGACCTCACTTAGTGGTTGGTACCTAGGCCTTGGCCTCGGCCATTGTGATCTGCTGGTGGCGGATCGTGCTGTGTGCTGCCCATCATCAGGAGCTGTTTGTAGCGATATGGGGATACTCGTCCCCCACTCACCTGCCGCTCTGAAGCTTCCTCCTCCTGTTTGGTCTCAGCACCTGGCTGCTGGTGCTGGTGGTGGTGACGGTGTGGTGAATCCTCATGTCTCTCTCCCGCATCCTTCTCTGCCCCCTGCCAGAGGCTGTGGCTCCCGTCCAGCACCTGCACACCCTTCTCTGCCTCAAACTGGGATGTCTCTTCATCGCTGGCCTTCTCTGCCTCCAGCTTCTGGGGGTCCCTTCCCCCCTGCGGCCGGCTCTTCCACAGGTCCTCGAAGGTCTCTGCAGGCCCCTTCTTTTCTTCCTCCTCCTGGTGGAGCCGGCTGTGGAGCTGCTCCAGGATGGCCTGTTCTCGCACCTCGGACTTGGTGCTCTCTGCTGCCGCCTCTTCCTCGCCCCTCACTTCCTTGCTGGACCTTGTGTTTTTGGAGTCCCCACGTAGCAACTCCTTTTCCTCGGGGGGCATGCAGCCATAGGGTTCCGTCTTACATATCTCTGGCAGAAAGAGAGAGACCTCTGAGCAGCAAGCCGGGAAACTGAGACCCTGAAGAGTTCTGGGTCCCAACCTGAGGCCTCTCAGCCCAGAACTGGGAGAGGAAGGGCAGGTGCTGGGGATGTGCCCAGTCCCATCCTGTGGCTCTGCAGGCACAGAGCTGGGGGAGGGTGGAGCTGGAGGCCAGGCTGTGTCAAGTGGGAGTACTGGACAGGCTGTGGGCCTGGGGTGTGATGGACACCGCTTCAGGCAGCGTATGCTAGGTGGGAGGGTCTACCCTCCCTGGTGCATGGAGAAACTGGGGTCCCCTTACCCTTGTGGAGGAGAGCCATGCAGGGTCCTTTCTGGGCTTGGCCCACAGTCAGCACCTCGGTGACCACCTCCACCAGACAGCGGGTCAGCTGGAGAAGGGGTGAAGAGGAGACTGAGGGCAGGGGAAATTGGACAGAGTGGTTGGAGGGTTGGGGGTGGTGGGGATCATGGAGGAGGCTGGGTGGGAAGGGGTCCCCGTGGAGTGAGCTGGGGCAAGGGGTCCACGTTCCTCACCTCCTCCTTGTGGGGTCTGGGCAGGGGAGCAGAGGCTGCTGTGGAGGAAATAGACGGGTGCTGTCCTCGGTACTGACCCAGCTCCTCACCAGCCCACCTGATCCTGCTGGCCCACAGCCCAGCCCGAGCTGGAATGTCTGGCACTCACCAGCTCCCAGCAGCAGCAGGAGCGCAAGGACAGGCACACAGCGCACCATGGCGGGGCGTCTGGACTCTGGTCCTCGGCTCTGCGGCTGCTACCAGCGTCTTATAAACCTGTGCAGCAGCCCCCAGAGGGGAGAGAGTGATGTGGCAGGCGCCCCTCCCGTGGCCCTGCAACAGCTGCAGGCCAGCCAGCCGGCCCAGGACCCTCAATTATTCATGGGGCCCCTCAGGCTTCCCGCTTGGAGTGCTGCAGAGGGAAAGCAGCTCACCCAGGTTCCAAGCCACAACAGCCATTCACTGAACCCCACCCAGCTCCTCTCTGCACCTCGTTTTGTCATCTGGAAAGTGGGTTTCCCCCACCTACTTCCTCAGAGCTTGGAGTGGGTTCTGGCCCGAGTGCCCAGCTCCAGCAATTGGGCAGTGTGCAACCTGGGGCAGCTGCCTAACTGTAAAATGGTCTCATTTATAAAAAGTGTCAATGATGACCTCCTGCACCTTGTGGGCGAGGCAGAAAACACTGTGTGTAGTGCTTAGGGCAGCGCCCTGCCCTGGGAACCACACAGGCCCACATGCCACTCCAGTGAGCTATTTTGTACAATGGGATGGAACCCAAATCCTCATGAATGCCAGGCAAGTGTTCTACCATTGAGCTACATCCTTGGCCCTATTCAGGAAAACTTTTATTGAGCACCTTTCTATGTCAACCTTTTTTTTTTTTTTTTTTTGGTACTAGAGATTGAACTCATGACCTCATGCTTGCCAGACAGGTGCTTGTGCCACTGAGCGACACCCCAGCTCTATATGCCAACTATAGGCTGTGGAGCTACAGTAGTGTATAAACCAGCCATCATCCCAGCCTTCTTGGTGCAGACACGCAGAAGGGGAGACAACACTCATAAATACGCTTTATGCAGGGAAGGCAGGAATGACTGTGGGGAACCCGAGGACAGATGTGAGGTCATGACAACTTTGTTCTTTCCGCTCTGATGGAGCTGAGGGAGCTCTAGGCATGGGAAAGCCTGCTCTCAGGAGCAGGGACGCAGTGAAGAGCAGGGGACAGGGTGGATAGGCCGCTCTGTGCAGCCCGAGGAGACAGTGATCGGAGTCTGAAGTGCTCTGAGGGGGCTGCTGGGGGCACTCATGAGCTGGGTGCACATTGGGAAGCATGTGGGGGGTGCAGCTGGGGAAATCTATGGCTGGAGACATTGAAGGTGACCGCCCAGCTTGTTCCCAGTCAGCATCCTCATAACCCCACTGGGTGGCCGTCAAGCCAGCCACAGGTGCTTCGGCCACAGTCCTTGTGTCACAGAGGCCCTGCTGATCTGGCCTTGCTGAGCAGTCCACAGCATCTCCCTTGCTCACTCTAATTGTTTATTGGGATTTTCTGTTCAGCTGGGAGGGGACAAAGGAGGAGACACACAGCTCCATTCCCCTTCCACATCTTAGGTATCTTGTTTCCTGTTGCAGGTGGCCCCATGATCACAGGGAGTGGGAAGCAGGGGCGGTGAAACTGGTGTGAGGAATGCAGGCTGCAGGATGCACGCAGGAAGATGGGCCCAGTGTCTAGGGCCTGTGAGTTCCGGGAGGCAGGGACAACCCACAGATGGGTGCAGGTGGTTCTCAGTGTTAGCTGGTGTTAGCTCAGTGTTAGCTGGTCAGGAAGACTGGGCTTCTGGGGCTGATTGGGGCCGATGTACTGGAGGGGCACGTGGGTGGGTGCTGTGATCCGATCCGTGCCGAGGTATGGCTGAAGGGCAGGGGGCACGAGGACCGAGCCATCCTGGGGGCAGACAGGCTTTAGGATGCTGCCGCCACAGCCCTCCTCTAGCCTTCCCCTTCCAGATAGGCCCTCCAAGCTCCTCACCCTTTGCTGATTGCTCTCCAGCAGGGCGATGAGGACACGGGGGACGGCGCAGGCTGTGGCGTTTACCTGGGAGGGAGGCATGCTCAGAGCCAGGCTTGCCAGGCCTGGGGGGATACAGGAAGGGGCAGATGGTGGCAGGCAGGCCAGCAGGGGTGCACCAGCCTCACCGTGTGGGCGAAGCACAGCTCTCCAGTCTCGGTCTGGAACATGATGTGCAGGCGGCGGCTCTGGAAATCTGTGCAATTGGAAGCGCTGGTGACCTGGGGACAGCTGAGGGTGAGAGGCTCATCCGTGGGGGGGTAGGCCCATCCTTCCTGTCCCCCAACAGCAAGGCTCACCTCTCCAAAGCGGCCTCGTCCGGGCATCCAGGCCTCAATGTCAAACTTGCGGTAGGCAGGAAGGCCCAGCTCCTGGGTGGGCATGTCCAGGACCCTGTGGCCAGGGTCAGAGGCGTGGTGAAGATTGGCAGGGGTTATGGGTGAGGGGGAAGGGGGTGAAGTGGAGTCCAAGGAGGAGCAGGCAGCCCAAGCTGAGGGAAATGGCAGGAAAGTGGGAGGCGAGGACAGTCACGAAGGGGAAGAGGTGAGACAGGCTGGGAGGTGGCAGAAAATGCAGGGGTAATAGAAGATGGAGGAGTCTCCAGGCTGATCCCTGTGGCTGTGCTCCCCTTCTGTAGCGGGATTGCTGGGTGTGGTAACCAGCACTTTTGGAGGTGGAGGCAGGAGGACTGCAAATTTGAGCCTACTCTGGGCATTTTTTTTTTTCCTATTTTGAAACAGGGTCTTGCTATGTAGTTTCAGGCTGGCCTTGAACTATGTAGCCTGAATAGGCCTTGAATTTGTGGCAATCCTCCTGCCGTGGCCTCCCAAGTTACAGGCAAGTGCCACCATTCCTCGTGTCAATGTATCTTAGTGACATAGTAAGACCCTATCTCAAAATAAAAAACCAAAAGGGCTGAGGGTGTAGTTCAGCACAAAAGCCCTGGGTACCACCCCCAGTACTGGAAAATAACACAACAGCACCCCCAGTTTTTTGTTGGGGCACTGAGGAAAAAAAAAATCTCACCTTTTTCTGTCTTTCTCAAAACCTATGAGTACCTGAAGGGGTGAGTAAGGCTAGGGGCGTCCTCCCTTCCCTGCCCTCACTTCCCAGTGCGTGTGCAGGAGGCCGGAGACGGGGACCATGAGGGGAGCTCACTGCAGACACACACTAATGTCCCACCCAATCCTGTCTTCACAGGACAAAGGAGGCTACAGAGGGGAGCCCCTGGTCCATCCTGTCCCTCCCTCAGTCCTGCTCCCCCAACCCCTCCGCACCGGAAGTGCAAGCCCAGCTCTGTCAAGATCTCCACCTGCAGGGCCAGGAACTCCTCCAGCAGCTGTGAGCTCTGCTCCAGCCCGGGGCCTGTCACCCCGAACATCTCCACCTGGGTGGGCGGGGTACAGTAGTCAGGGGGCCTGGCAGGCTGGGTAACCCCTCACAGTGTTCCCAGCCCCACCAACCTTGGTGAAGTGGTGCACCCGGTAGAGCCCCCACGGCTCCCTCCCGGTGTCTGTCTCTGGCCGGTAGCATGTGCTTGAACAGACAGTCCTGGTGAAAGCAAGTGAGGCTGGGTCAGGGAGGCAGCATGAATGTTGCAGCTGGGGGCAGGGTTTAAAAGAAATGGGTGTCACCTGACTGGCAGGTCCCTGAAGGCCACACTGTGGTCCATGAAGTAGCCTGGGAGGAGGAGAAGGGGAGAGGATGGGGCCAGCCAGGGTGGCCATCACCTTTGCAAAACTCAAAAAAGGCATTTCCTTTGGTGGCCACAGCCCCGTTCAGAGTAACTGCTGGGTTACCACTGTACTGCTGTGCAGTCAGTACCTGCACAACGGGCTCTTCCTTTGTTAAGACAGGGTCTCATTCTGCAGTTCAGGCTGGCCTGGGATTCATTACGTAGCCCCAGGCTGGCCTTGAACTTCTGGCAATCTTCCTCCCTCAGCCTCCCTAGTGCTGGAGTTTCAGATAAGTGCCACCACACCCAGCTGTTTTTTTGTATTATAGTACTAGGGATTAGGACTCAGGGCCTTCCCATTGAGCTATATCCCCAGCCCTTTTTAAATTTTTATTTTAGGACAGAGTCTAAATTGCCAGGCTAGGGTCAAATTTGCAATCCTGCCTCAGCCTCCCAGTGCCAGGGCCACACGTGTACACTACCATGCCGAGCCCAACGTACACAATTGTGTATGTTGGCCCTTGGGTAGCTGAGATCTCCTGGGCAGGTAGCCTTGTCTGCTGTCCCCAACAATGCTTCCCATTGTCCCCCACAATCTTTCTGCCCCATCACCCAGGTGGCCCTCACCTGCGAGCCCCACTTCTGCTGTCCCAGCCAGGTTGAGGTCTTCAAAGCGGGAGGGGTCGATGTTGTAAACTTGGGATGGGCTGGCGTTAGGGGTCATCCCACAGCCTTCCTGGGGAAAAGCAGGGGTGGGAGCATCTAGAGTTGCACTGGCCTCCTGGCTATGGCCAGCTGCCTGCCCCAGCCCAGGGCAGTCCCCCGAAAGTTCAGGGCCTCACTCACAAACACGGCTCCGCGGAGGAGGTCTGGCACCGTCATGGGGGTGAAGCCCTGTGGGAGGAGTCAGTGAGGTACAGGCCCCCTTTGTCACTTGAGTGACTCCCCTTCCCCAGTGGAACACACCAAGTCAGGCCTGACAGCGGGCCAGGTTCCTGGTGTCTGTGTTACCAGGGCTGCCCTGCTGGGGGCTCCAATTCCTCCCTAAGTTCAGCCAGCACAGGGCAGGCAGAGGTCTGGCCATATCCTGACCCAGCAGACACCCACCAGAGCTCCCTCCAGATTATGGGGAAATGTCTGACTTCCCCGCTGTAGCCAGTGCCCCACACTGATGCCTTGTGGATGCCAAACTTCTCTTTACATGCTAGGTGGGCAGTGAGGTGTGGTGGTTACACGTGCAGCCTCCCGGCCAGGTCCCTGTGCAGGCTGTGACCTTGGGCCAGTTAGCCCCCGCCCCCGGGTCTCAATTTCCCAGCTCAAAAGTGGGGATAGTAAGCACTCACTCCCTAAGATCATCGTAAGAGTTAATGTCGTTAGTACACACAAAGCCCTCCCACCTCTGTATAGAGCCCTCTAAACTCAGGGCCAGCGCTGCCCCCTCCACACCGCCCTCCTGGCCTGGCCATACCCGGCGGACAAGCTTGCTGAGGGTGAAGTTGACCAGGCCATGCTGCAGGAGGGCCCCTGCGCCACGCAGGTAATAGGAGCGGTGGCCCGACACGTGGGACAGGCGCCTGGGGACATATGAACAAACAGCCAAACGTATATGGGCAGGGCTGGTGGGGGTAGGGGGACTTGGGCACCTGGGGCAGAAGCCCAGCTGCCAGGCGGGTGGCATCAAACATTTATGCTGGGCGCCTCCCCGGCATCTGCACATCTTGGGCTGAGGCCCTCGGGTGTAGAAGCGGACACCAGCTGTTACAGTGGGGATGGGCGGGAGGGCAGGGGAACTCACTTCTGCCGGATGATGTCAAGCTTCTCGCCGATTTCCAGGTGGCCCCGAGGTTGGAAGGAGAAAGCTGGATGTGGGTGAAAAGCAATGGGGGGCGGGGGCACAGAGACTCAGGAACAGCAGGAAGGAGAGAGGGACCCAGAGAAAGGGAAAGAGATGGGGAGGTGGGGAGAAGACGAGTGACAGGGAAAGCAGGAAAGAGGAGAGAGGGACAGAGAAAGGCAAAGGGGGCATAAGAGGGCAGAGATGGGGCTGGGGGAAAGGACGCAGAGACCAAGGAGGGACAGATAGGAGGGCAGGACTGGAACAGCAGAGGCAGAGATGCGATAGAAAAAGATATGCTTGGGAAGGGAAGGGATGGGAGACACACAGAGGCAGGAAGCAAGACCACCAGAGCAGGGCACTGGAGAGCAGCCCTGGAGGTGAAGACAGATGGAGCCTGAAACTGATGGCAGAGCCCACGCTTGGCAAGGGAAGGCAGGTGGCGCCACTTCCCACAGGGCCAAGCACTCTCAACGCTGCAGCTGCACCTCAGCCCCTGGAGCCCCACACCGTGATCCCTGGTGTGCCTGGGCCCCACCCCAGCCCCACTCCCCGGCCCTGGGCATGGCCTACCTGGCTTGTCTCCGACCACCTGGAGCACACGGGCCTGGCTCTCGTTCCCGACAGGCTGCAAGGACACAGAAGTGGGGGTGTTATGGAAGGGACACAAAGAGGGCTCCTCGTTGAGCGCTGTGATACTTACCACGTCTGGGTGGGTCTGGTTGGGCAGCCTCAGTGCCTGCAGGTAGAACTGCTCTTCCAGCTGGTCCTCCCTGGGGTACAGGAGCACCAGCTGCTTCCGGATTTCCCGGCCGCGCGTCCGAAGGGCCTGATACTGAGGGTCCTAGGGACAGCACAAAGGGGTCAGTCCAAGGCATGGCTGGGACCCCTCAACTGGACCTTCATCCTCGCTGGCCAAGCCTCCAGGGTGGACCTCTGTTGCCTCTTCTTTTGGTCTAGCAACTTGAATTTCCTGTCAGGAAACCTCTGGCCACCACATGACAGATTCTTGGGGACAAGGCTCAGGCCCGGCCAGCTAGGACCTTGTGTTGCATTGGCTTCCCTGACTGGCTCAGTGACAGGCATATGACCCCTGCTGAACTCACGGGAACCAGGCTCAGGATCCTGGCTGGAGCACTCATGAAAGCATGCTGGCTCTGCCTACCCCTTCCACAAACCCACAAAGCTGGGCTGCGAATGAAAGGAAACAGGCAAACATGGCGCCAGGACCTGGATGCAGCTCTACCGGAAGCCAGCAGTTACACTGCTACGCTGGAAGCTAGCTGTTTCATAAGCCAAGAGCGTCTGCTCCTTCTTTGCCCCTGTACAGCTGTTTGTGTTATAATTTTTGTCATTTATAATGGGAGAATTGTGAGTGACACAGTAGCCACCCTGTCCACCCCCAGCTCCGTGCTGTACCTGCTGTACTTGGCTGTGGTCCTGGTTCACCTGGCGGAAAAGAAGGGAAGAGAGGAGGGTTAGGCTGAAAAACTTGTGAGGTGTGGTGAAAGGTCAATTAGGGTAGCAGATCTGGACCTCCTGCTCTGTCAGTGCCCAGTTGGGTCCCTCCATCACTCTGTGCCTCAGTTTCCCTGCTGGTGAAGTAACTAGGAGGATGAGGTGATGGAGCAGTCATCACACCAGCAGCACACCCCATGAAGGACCTAGGGTGCGGATACTGTCGCCTGCATCTTGGCCCACTCTGTGGCCTGGTCTCTGAGAAAGCCCATTCATGGATAAGCAAACTGAGTCTGTGAGTGGGAGTGTGAGGCCGGGTGTCAAAGGCCCTCGATGTTCAGAACCTCCTGTGACCCTGAGCTGCTGCAGAAACTGGGGAGATGCCCCCTTGGGTAAATCTCTCTCCATCTCTAGGCCTCAGTCTCCCTATCTGGAAGGTGGGATGACACTGCCCAGCTGCAGCTTCTGAGGAGACAAGTTAGTGCTGTCTCAACACAGCATGCAGTTCCGCCATTTTCCCTGGCTACTGTCCTTGATGGCTACTGTCCTTGGGTCCCCACAGTGGGGACCCAAACACTTCAGGCCCCGGGAAGCTGCTGGTGGCAGGAAATGCTGAGGAGCAGTGGACAGTAACCCACACGCCTGGGCATGTGTCAGCCTCCCACTTCCTGGCCGTTTTAACCTCTCAGCACCTCAGTTTCCCCAACTGTAAAACTGGATTTTTTTAGTACTGGGGATCAAACTCATGACCTTGCACTTGCCAGGCAGGCACTTGTGCCCCTGAGCTAAATCCCTGGCCCCTAAAACTGGATCTGTATTCTTCCCGTACCACAGCCTTGCTGTGAAGGTTAAGTCTGGAAAGCACAGGTGATGGTGCCTGAGGCACAGTGACTGTGACATGGATGTCTGTAACAGGGGCTGGAATCCTGGGAGCACTGAGCTGCAGGCTCAGTTCTTCTTTCTTATTCTGAGACAGGGTCTTGCTGCACTGCCCAACTTGGGCTAGGATTTGCGATCTTTGGCCTCAGCTTCTCAGGAGTCATCACAGGAGATGCTGCCCTATTGCAGCTATCTTGGAATCATGATGGGGAAACTGAGGTCAGATTAATGTAATGTAGTGAAGTTGTCAGCATAGAGAGAGACAAAGAACACTGTTGGAGACACTGGCAACAGCCACTAACCAATCAACCCTCAGGATGCTGCGGACCCTTGGGAGAAGAGGTAATAACTGTCCCATGGTTCAAGTGCCTTAAAATGGCTTTCCCATCACCTGTGGCCAGTGGTGCCCCCACCACTGCCCACCCCTGCTCAGGACAGTTGCTCACCAGCAGGGCCCGCACTGCCTCCGCCACAGTGTCCTTCTCAGCCTCCAGGCTCCGGATCTGCTCCTGCAGCTGCCTCAGCTCCTGCCACGTGGAGATCTGAGGGTGGGGAAGAGGGTGAGGTGCTTCTTGCTGCTGAAGCCTCGCCCCTGGCTACCTGGGCCCGCAGGTGCTGGAGTGGTGACCCCTCCCAGGCCCCCATGAGCCCCTCTTCCTTCCTCCCTCAGGACAAGAACTCTCTGATACTGGGGTGGGCACCAGGTAGCCACGAATAAAGGCACATTTCCCAGAAGCCTTTGCAGCTGCTCTTGTTGTCGTAACCAAGACCAGCCAACAGACATGAGTGGAAGAGGTACGTGTAACACTGGGGTCACTTCCTTAAAAATAAGCTGCCATCCAAGACTACTTCTCACTCCACTTGGACTAGACAAAATGGGCTCTGAAGACAGCGCAGCCCTGCAGAAGCATTTTTCCAAGTTTTGGGTTGTGACCAACATGGGCACACTGGAGTGAATGCCTGTGTCCACCTTCATATGTTCAAATCCCTGCCCCATGGGAGGGCATTAGGAGACAGAGCTTTGGGAGATCACAGCTCTGGTCACAAGGCCACAGCTCTGATGTGTGGATTATTGCACATATTAAAGAGAACCATCGTGAATGCTTCTTCTTCCCCCATGTGAAGACATAATGAGAACATGGCGTCTAGGAACCAGACACAAACCTGCTAGTGTCTTGACCTTGGACTTCCCAACTGATGGGAAATAAATAAATTCCCTTTGCTCAGAAGCTGCTCAGTCAAACTGGGCATGGTGGCGCACATCTGTGATCCCAGTACTTGGGAGGCTGTGGCAGGAAGATCACTGGAAGTTCGAGGCCAACCTGGGCTACAAAGTGTGCTCAAGGCCAGCGAGACTCTCACTCAAACAGACAAAAAACAAAACAAACCCTCCCCCCCCAACTACCTGGTCTATAGCTTTCTGGTACAACAGCCCAGACAGTGGGTTATAACATTAATTCAGGATTTCTACATGGGACATGGTTCTTCATGCCTGTAATCTCAGTACTCAGTGGCCTAAGGCAGGAGGGTTGCCACAAGTTTGAGGCTAGCCAGGACTACATAGTGAATTCAAGACCAGCCTGGACTAAACAGCAAGACCCTGTCTCAAAAACAAGTAACATTAATTTAGGATTTCTAAACAAGCACTTTAAAAAGATACAGAATGTAATTTTTAAAAAAGACTGCATCACCTATGGTAAGGACATGAAACTTTGGCTTCAATTGTGGGTGTGTGTTCTGGGTTAGGATGTGAGATGTACCCTCATTCTTGGCTACTAAAGACTTATGATGCCAAGTTACCTTTGTGTGTACTAAATGGAATATTCCACTCCTTAGCTTTGGTAAACGTTGGGCCCCTCCCCTTGGGACACCCATCCCCCCTCTCCTACAGGTTCTCCTCAGTCCACAGATTTTTGCCTAATGCCACTCACTTCCTCTGAGAAGCAGTCCCTGGCTGTCCTCTACTTTGCCTTCACAGTACTTACTTACAACTGTATGTGAAATAACTGTCTAGGGGGCTGGGGATTTAGCTCAGCGGCACAAGCGCCTGCCTTGCAAGCAGGCAGTCGTGAGTTCCATCCCTGGTACCAATACAAAGGAAAAAGACCAAAAAAAAAAAAAAAAAAAAAAAAAAACCTGTCGTGGTTACCAGGCTGTGAACTCAGCTCACCTTGTTATGGTAGAGCACAGTGGAGTAGTTCAGATGGCAGGTTCTAGAACCAAACAGCAAGGGTTCAAATCCCTGCTCTGCCACTCACCAGCTTTGTGATCTTGGCAAATTAATTAACTTCTCTGCACCTGTTTCCCTTTTGATAGACTGAGGGGGAAATAATGACACTTAATTCACAAGGTTGTTGCAAAAATTAATAGAAGCCAAAGTATAAAAAGCATATAGAACAGGCTGGTTGGGGGATTCAAGAGCAGACCAGGAAGACTAGGTGACCTTACTATTGTTCACCATAGAGATATAATGACTACAAACTTCGTATGGTGGTATATACCTATAATCCTAGCACTCTGGGAGGTTGACGCAGGAAGATCTGGGCATCTTGGTGAGATAGTCCCAGGAGAGAATAAGTATAAATAAATAGACTGAGGATGTAGCTCAGGGTGAAGGCCCTGGGTTCAATCCCCAGTGCAGGGGCAAAGATAATGATTCGTTTCAGTTTCCTTGTATGTAGTATTATATAAAGACTAATTTTTTTTTTTTTTTGTCTTTTTGAGGTAGTCTCACAATGCAGTTCAGGCTGGTCTTGAACTCACTTTGTAGCCTCAAACTCGTAAGGATCCTCCTGCCTCCCGAGTGCTTGGGATTACAGGCTTCGCCACCATGCCCGGTTGAACTTTATCATTACTCATTGCCTATTTTCAAGCCCTGGAACTCTGGATGTTCCTTAAGTATCTACTCAACAGAGCCATTCATCCATTAAAGCCTGTTTAACTGCTTGCTTCCCCCCCACCCCCCAGTCTTTTTGAAACAGAGTCTTGTTTTGCAGTTCAACCTTGAGCTCACTTTGAAGTCTAGGCTGGCCTCGAACTCTTAAGGATCCTCCTGCCTCAGCCTCCCAAGTGCTGGGATTACAGGTGTGCACCACAAAGTCCGGCAACCTGGGATTGGGAGACCGCTTGCTTCTTGTGGCATTGATGCAGCATTCTACCCCTATGAGAATGAGGCCCCACTGTCTGCGCCTTGTCAGCTTGATAATTCCTCATTCTGTGTGTAGTGTAGCCTCAGGGTAAGCCTGGTATAAGGATGGAGCCCAGGAAGGCTTGCCCCTGTCTATACTACTATAAACTCTAGAGCACATTAAGTACCCTACGCGTTGTGAGACAGACGCAAAAGGGACTTTCAGGATAACAGAAGGCATCCTTGGCACACAGGAAATCCCCAGCCCTCAGTCGACCATTGACACATAAGGGGATGCCATGCCCAACACACTAACCAACGTTGGAAGTAACTAAAATTTCTGCAATTAGACCCTCCCATCCCCAAAACGGAGCTGTTGCAAACCCAGCGCTGTAAATTCAACAGCCCGCGCCCGCCGTCCGGCGCAAGCGCACTCACGATCCCTGGCAGGTCCGCGGGCCGCAACTCCCCCTTGCGAAGTTCCAGGGCGCGCGCGACCTTTTCTGGGCATGCGCACAGCAGCTCCATGTCCAGGTGAGGGAGTGCACTGTAGCCTTCGCGCGCGTGCTGGTACAGGAGATTCGGGCTTCGTTTCTCTGTAGCAAAATTTCTCCATGGGTTCTGGTTGTAGACAGAGTCTCCCCGGGAACGAAGCCCTGGACGAGACAGCAAAGGCCATAAACGCCGCGGGACGGACGCAGCCATCTTGGATCGGAAACGAGAAGCCCTTTATCCCGCCCACTCAGCATTTAGACCAATTGCAAAGGAGCCATTCTGCTCAGATAAACCAATCAGACTCTGGAAGGTATTACCCTAGCATGCCCTCAGAAAACAGTTCATTGGACTAAGAGATTCCTTTTTGTCCAATCGTCGTGTGTGTCTCGCCCTTTTCACAAACGAACCAGCCAATCGCTGCTTGGTGAGCCCCGGAAGGGGCTGGAGACAGGATGCAGATTGTCTTCAGACCTTACTAGGGTCGGTGAGGACGGTGGGATATTCTGGTGCTTCAGATCTCCCCTGCCTTCACCCCAGTTCCTTCTTTTCTCATGTATGCAGGCAGGACCGATACGTACCCAGAGCTTAGTTAGAGCGAGGCCAACTTTGCGGAGTGTTCCTATTAGTAACATAAAAGGTGATGGTCAGATCTCTCAAAAAACTTCCTTAGGAATTTGGACCCTCGGGCGACTACGATCACGTTGATCTCCTTTCTGAGTCTCTTATCCCTAACACCCTAACACAGGGACACACCAAGAGACGGGATGACCTGGTCTGGCCTTCTCCATGGCCTCAACACGTCCCTAAGTCATGGTAAGTTGGATAGGTCGGGCTTCAGGGACCAGGGTGTGTGAGAGTTATCCCCTCTGGGACGCTCCTCAGTCAGACTCATACGAGAATTGCAGGCTTTAAATCAGGGGTCGCTCCACGGTGGTTTTTAGCAGGGCTCGGGCTGCAACACCAGAGATGAAACGTAGTCCCATTCAAGGTAACTGTGCCTCTCAAGCAGTTTGGGGTGATGACAGTCGTGCCCTGCATAATGAGGTTGAGGACCACATCTACCAGTGTTGTTCTGTGAGGTTATATTGCCTGGTAACATCCTGCCAGTCTTAGTGTATATGAGTGCGATTTGTGATGTCTGCTAACATCACACTTACTAGAGCATGTTGCTTTTACAGCATCTTGTGACTGTTTGTTCTTTCAGCTAGTATTTATTGATTACCTCCCGCGGATGAGACAGCCAAATAACATCACTCTAGTCATTTATTCAGCTGATTTTTTTAGAGCCTCGTATTTACCTCGTATTACCTCGTATTTTATATATATATATTCTTCCTTTTCTGTACTGGGGATTGAACCCAAGGCCTCAGTACTGAACAACAACCCTAGTCTTTTTTTTTATAATTGGAGACAGTGTCTGCTTAGGTCATTGAGTTTCACAGGTTGGGTTCAAGCTTAGGATCTTCCTGCTTCAACTTCCCAGAGTGCTGGGATTACAGGTGATACTGCACTTGGCTCTGTACTGTCCTGAGACATCACATGCTTTCATGGACTATTGCCTGAGGGAGGTATTTCATCCATCTGTGTGCTCTGAAAACCATCCTTATACACTGTCACTCAGCAGAAATCATCAGGGTGGGCAAGTTCGGCATGCCCCCTGCCTCGGTAACTGGGGCTCACTAGACATGCAGTATTTTTCATGGTAGCCTCACATGGCATCCAGGAGAGATGCAGTCAGAGTGCCCAGGATATATGTGAGGAAAATGAGGCACAGATGCCAAGAGCCTTGTTTAGAGGCATGGTACTAGCCAGAATCTCTTCTAAGAATGGCTCAGTTTCTTTGAGAATTCAGCTGTTGCTGGGGCTGGTGGCGCATGCCTGGAATCCCAGCACTCAGGAGGCTGAGGCAGGAGATGGTGAGTTTAAGAGTGACTGAGTTCAAGGCTGGCCCGATCTACAGATCTGGTAAGATCTAGTCTCAAAAAAACAAAAGGTAGGGGGGAAGACTTTGGCTGTCACTCAAGACAAAAGGATACATGGGAGTGGACAGTAAGGCTGGATAAGGAGGGGAGTGTGAGGTTGAGGAGCTAGCAGGACACTTGTTGGAGCTGCAGTGAGAGAAAGAGATGGAGAGGTCGATGGTACAGTAACCTCAGAGCCCAAGATCATGCTAGGGCCCGGGTGTTCTCAGTCCCTGCTTGTCCCCATCACTGTGCATAGACACTGGGTGCTCAGTGAATGTTGCTAAGAACCACTTTGCATCTTCATGCAGCTACCCGCCGTCCATGAACAAATCTCATTGAAAATCTCCCTCACCCCATTTTCCTCTTACTACAGCCATCATGGTTTCCTCCCTGGTGGTATTTTTGGGGCCCAAGGCTAGAACAGCAAGAGCAAGGGGCCAGTTGGGAGCTGAGGTCAGAGGAATCCCGGGGACAGGTTGGCTGAAGAACTTTCTTCTTTCTCCACGATGGAGAAGTGCTAAGCAGGGGAGGGGTGTGATCTGCCTCTGGTGTTCAGGCTCCCCCTGGCTGTGTGTTTGGGAGTCAGAGCGGGGGCTCCGAGGGCTCATCCTCTGCGCAGCATGAGGATGGCGCAGACTAAGATGGGCCTAGCAGTAGAGGGAGAAGGCGGTGAATTCTGAGCTGTACTGAGGACTGGCCTGACAGCATGCTCTCAGAGGTTGGATGTGGCCTTGAAAGAAGGGGTGAGTCTCCTGGAGCACGCCCACAGGGCTGCTGCAAGGGTGGCCTGAATGCATGTGTGATGCAGGCACTCTGCTCAATTTCATTATTTCTGAACAGCTTTCAAATTAGTACCTTCTTTGAGAAGACAGTGAGTTAATTTATGTAAAAAGCTTAAAACAGAACCTGGCACATTGTGGTTGTTCAATAAATGTTAACAGTTATTACTATTATCCAAAAATACCCCAGGATGTAAACAAATGCGTCCTTTAAAGTGCTTGGATCCATGCCTAGAACACCAAAATTGAGTTGCAAATGTTATTATCTGTGTGCTGGGATAATAACCGCCTTCCACTCTCCTGGTTGTGTCTCTCCAGGCCTGGCCCTGGTTCCCCAGCTCTGGGCCACTCGCTCCATGGCTACCCTGAATCAGATGCATCGCCTGGGGCCCCCCAAGCGGCCTCCCAAGCATCTGGGCCCCACAGAGGGCCGGCCGCAGCTGAAGGGCATAGTCTTGCGCACGTTTATCCGCAAGCCCAAGAAGCCCAACTCAGCCAACCGCAAGTGCTGCCGTGTGCGGCTCAGCACTGGCCGTGAAGCTGTCTGCTTCATTCCCGGGGAGGGCCACAACCTTCAGGAGCACCATGTGGTCCTCGTGGAGGGTGGCCGTACCCAGGACTTGCCCGGGGTCAAGCTCAAAGTTGTGCGGGGCAAGTATGACTGTGGCCATGTGCAGAAGAAGAAATGACCAGTGTGTGCAGTGGCCCGGACTCCCTGCAGAAAAAGAACCTGGATCTCCAGCTTCTGGCTCCTGGCTCCTGGCTCTGGCAGTTCCTTCACAAACCTGAGTCCCGCCTCTTCTGTCAGAACCCCCTTCAGCTCATGTGGGTTCTTGGGGTAGATCAGAAAAAGGTCCCCCATAATACCCTTGGGATCAGAGTTGATTGCTGGCATGAGGGGTCTCTTCTGCTGGGACAAGATGCCGCGCCACTGTTGACTGGGAGGGGTTGTAATAAATGCATAGATCCTGATGGTTGTCATGTGAGTCCCTGGTGCAGTATCTGACCTCTGGGTGTGGTTGTGGCATTGTCATTGTCTCATGGCCTCAGTGTTCTTTCCAGAAGGCAGTGAAGGTTACACACGTGCTTGTATGCACAGGGCCTGTATGGGCTGCTTGGGTTTAAGCTCTGCAGCCTGCTGGAAGCACTGACGAGGCCTTGCTGTGCTGCTGCCCCCGAATGTGGTCATCTGGGAAAGGGCAATAATTGTATCGTTGGTATTGAAAGGGTTAAGTGGAGGTGCTTCAAGCCTGAGAGGGTTCTTTGATATTATCTGACATAGCTGGGTTCATGTGCTGGCTGTACCCCTAATTGCCTTATGAGCTGGTTCCTTCCTCCAGGCCTCTCTTTCCTCCTTTGGAAAATGGCATTGGAGATAACTCTGGCCATCAGAATTGTGTGATCACAAGCTTGGCCACCTTTGCTTTTAATTTGTGGAGGTTATGGTGCTGTCACCGGGCTCTGGAGCCCAACCCTGGCCCAAGCCAGCTTATTGGCCCGGAGACTTGGGGTATGTCATTAATATCCTGACTCTTAACTGGGCATGGCGGCACACACTGCTAATTCTAGCATCTGAGGCTGAGGCGAGAAGATCAGGAGTTCAAGACCTTCCTGGACTTCCCAGTGAGGCCCTAGCTCAATAAACAAAAACAAGCAAACAGATAGAGCTAACTGCTTGGATGCATTGTCTGATGAGTGCCCCTGCCTGAGAACTGCTGAGCAAAGTACCGAGGACCTCATTTGCTGGATGCGTCATAGGTGTCCCTGGTTCTGGAAGCTCTCATGGGAACAGAGGCAATTGGCATGCAACCTCCTGGGGCTTTTGTGATTGGAGGTATCAAGTACAGAGTAAAGACAAAAAGTACCTCATACTTAACACCAGTTTCAACGAGCTAAGTGGTTGGCTGGGCCCTGCTAGGCAGCACCCCAGGACTTGGGCATGGGGCACTTTCCCTCATGATGCACCTTGCTCAAATTCCCCATGCAGGAGGGCAGGAGTGAGGGGAAAGGAGGGTGTCATCCAGCAGGAGGTGAGGGTGAGGAGTGGCCTTGAGAATCCTGACACACCTGACCCAAAGGGAAGGGCTTCAAATACCCAGAGATGGCTGCTTACAGGGCCCCACAGCTGAGTCCCAGAGACCCCAAAACAACAGTTTCCTTTGAGGGCCCCATTGGTCTCAAGGATAGGTGGCTCAAGTGACCTCTGGTTTCTGACTGACCCATTTGCTCCAAAAACATGGACAAGAGTCACCCTTCCCTTACTGACAGCTTCCCCCAGCATCATAAAAGCTGTTTTGGCTTTCATTTCTTGACTCAGTTTAACCACTGATGTCCACCTGTGAGGGAATAGCACACAAACTAAATGTACACTTGTTTTTTAAAATCTTACTTTTATTTATTTTTGAGATAATCTCACTTTGTAGCCCAAACTGGCCTTGAACTTGCAGCAGTCCTGGCTTAGCCTCCCGCGCGCTGGGATTACAGGCATGCGCCACCATGCCCAGCCTGTCTCTAGTTTATGGCACCGTCCACCTGGGGAGCTCAGCAAGCCATGGAGTGGCTGGCGCAGTCTCTGGTTCATCCACAGCATGAGGGTCACCATGCAGATGCCATAGGACTCAGCCTGGGCATCCTCAGGCCCAGGGCTGCAAAGACACTTCTGATTTTGATGACATCCAGCAGATGGCAGTGTGTCCCAGAAGGCTGGGTCATGCTGGCTGGCTAAGAAATTCGTATCCTAACCCTCACGCTGGAGTGGGTCACGAGGGCACCATAATGCCCCACCCAGGAACGTGTGTCTCTCCCGTACTGCTCGAAAGACACATAACGGATGCCCTTGCCAAAGTTGGTGAACACGTGGGAGACCTGTGGGGAAAGGAGGGAAGCCAAGGGCCATGAGATCCTCTTCTGCCTCTGCAGATGCTCACTGCCCAGGCACCTCAGGCACCAGGCTGTGTGCTGAGTGAAAGGGCACAGCAGTGAGGCCATCAGCAGAAGCCCCTGTCTGCTGAAGATGACTCTCCCCTAGGGGCAGACACTGAAAGCAGATAGGGTGGGGGAGCAGAGGGCATCTTGCCAGGCAAGTGCCAGACATAAGCAAAGCAAGCAAGCAAGGGCCTCCCTGAGGTGATACCTGAAGGAGAAGAGGGTACGATGTGGAGCTATGGAGGAGTGTTCCAGATGGTGAATAGCTGTACAAAGGCCCTGTGGTGGGAGAATGCCTGCAGCAGAGAGGGGAGAACTAGGAAACCAGTTCAAGAAAATAATGGGTCGATCATCTGGGGGCCTTCTGGGCTACTGGAGGACTCTGGCTTTTTTTAGTTGGAATTTTTTAATTGAGATAAAATTCATGAAACATAAATGTCACCATGTTAAAGTGTATAATCTAGTGATTTTTACTGTATTTACACTGTTATGCAACCATAACCACTATCTAATTCTGGGGTATTTCCATTATCCCAGAAAAAACTCCTTGTATCCATCAGCTACTACTTCCTGTTCCTCCTGTCAGTTCCTGGCAAACACTGAACTCCTGGACATTTTTCTGTCCTCTGTGGTTTTTGTTTTTTTGTATCAAGAAAGGAACTCACAACCTCTCCCTTGCCAGGCAGGCACTGTACCGCTTAGCTACACCCTCCACCCTCCTCTTTTCACTTTTAATTCCTTTTTACAGCTGCAACATGGGCATCTCTTCCTCTGAGCTGCAGCCAAGGGAGGGTTACAAGCAGAGAAGTGTTATATGACTCAGATTTTGGTGGGATCTTCCGGATGCTCTGTTTTGGGTTCACAGGGGAAGAGGGCAGGAGTGAAATCGAGAGGCTACTCGGAAGGTACCTTTGATATTTGAAAGGTGATGGTCGGGACACAACAGGCTTAGGAGTCAGCCAGGGTTCGAATCGGCCCCTGCATGCCTCGGTGTGACTTGGAGTCACTCACTTACCGCCCTGCACCAGAGCTTCCTCAATTCTAGGAGTAGGGCAAAAAATTTGGTTCACCACTGTATTCTATCTCCTTTAGCAGTTTTCTGTACACACAGCTGGTGCTCAATAAATGTTTGTTGAACAGCTAGGCTGTTGTGCTAAGGAAACATTAATCTGTAAAGTTTTTGGAACAGGTCTGGGAAGTGGTGTAGTTAGGTGCTCAATAACTGTTATCAGTGGCAGCTGAGCAGATCGACACAGCAGGGTGGTAGGTTGGATTTGTGTACCCAAAGCAGGTTAGGGTGAGTGGGAAGGCGGGCTGGACCCACCTGTCGGCAGCTCCTCTCAGTCCACTGAAGGACCGGGTTGGGTGACGCTGAGAACTTGACCACTTCGTTTTCATACACGTCCAAGAGGCGCACCCGAAGGCGGTAGATGCAGCCGCAGTTCTCTCGGGCACCCCACCTGCCAGGTGGCAGTAAGATTCTATGTGCTCGCCACCCAGCCAGCTCTCTGGGTTGGGAGGAAGGCAGCTGAGGACATCCAGCACCTGCATGAGGGTCCCACACCCCTGCACCACATCTGGTGCTCCTGGGCACTTCTGGAGTGGAGCCAAACCAAAGAACCTGGGAGGTTCTGATTGGCTAGATTGAGGGGTGGGGCTAGGGTGGGGGGGGGGAGTCTCGACTCAGGGAAGGAGCTTGGTGACCTTGGAGTAGGACCAGAGCTGGGGAAGAGACTGAATGCTCTGAGAAAGAGCCTGTGTGCTCTGGAAGGGCAGTGCTAGCAGAATTAAGGCTCCTGGACTCCGAAGCCAGCCAGCACCCCCAATCCCACTGTATCTCCTCTGAGCCGAGTTCATCCTTCAGAAGCCTAGGGCACCCACAGGCCTTCAGAGTTACGATTGAGTTGGGGTGATAGGGGGATTAAGCCAGGGGTTGAGTCTGGGAGGACAATCCCTGGGGACTGTGTGGGAAGAGAGCCGGAGAGTGCGGGGCGGGACTCTAGGCTCACCAAAGCTCCGCCCCTTCCTAATCTGTAACTTTGAGCTTCACTTCCTCACTACAAAGGGTGCATGAACCAGCCACCCAGGGGGCTGAAGGCTGGAACTGAGCCCCTCCTGCTATACACTGCCACCGAGGCTGTCCCTTGGGGGAGGCTGCCACTCCACTCACCAATCGGCCACGCAGATCTCAATCTGGGCGCTGTCCAGCAGCTCCTGCCACACCCCCTCCATCACCAAGTCCACCAGCTGTCTCTTGAAGCACCATCTGGGAGGGAAAGAGCAGGGGCTGGGGCACACAGTCCTGGCTTTCAAGTTGCAGGTAGAAACCACTTCCTCCAGGAAGCCTTCCCTGATCACCTTGCCTGAAATAGCTGCTCAGGGTTTGCTGGACAGTGCAGGAGATGTTTGATGGATCTCATACCCCTCCTTGGCCTCTCAGACCCCTCTCCATTCTCTATCCAGCTCTGGGCTCTAGGAGGGTGACCCATTTGCTAGCCTGATTCAAATGTTTGTGGGGACCAGGACATGAGTACCAATGGAGGCCATACATTTGAGATCAGAGCAGAGAGTTCTGGGGCCTCTAAGTCTGCATGACCTGTATGACTAGATCTAGGGAGGAAAGAGTAAGATCCAAGTATTAATCCTTCTGGGTCCCTCAAAGAGAGTGCAGCCCACAGTGCTGTCTCCTCTGCCTTCTCTGCCTTTATGTCCCACAGCCGTTCCTTCCCTCACCCTCTGTAGGTGACATGTAACATGTGCTCCTCCACTATAACTAGGCTTGGGGTCCTGCAGTGTCCCTGTGGTCCTTCCCCTCAGTTGGATGTGCTATGACAGCAGACAGAGTGTAGTGTTGGTAGAAGGACAGAGTTGGCCATGGAGCAGAACACTGTGAGACAGACCTAGATTTCCTACATGACACAGGTGGCACCATTTCAGAGAACGGACTGACTCTTCAGTAGATAGTACTGCAAAAACAGGTTCTGATATGGCAGGGGTTGGATCCTTACAGAATAGCACATTCAAAGACAGTTTAAAGACCTAAACTAGGCACAGTGGTGCACCCCTGTAACTCCAGCATTCTCCAGGGGCCGAAACAAGATGATAGCAAGTTTGAACCCAGCCTGGGCAACTCAGTGAGACCCCATCTCAACATAAGAAAAAGAGCTAGGTGTGCAACTCAGTGTGAGGGCCTGGGTTCAGCATTGAAAAAAAAAAATTAAAAGAAAAAAAAGAAGACCCTAAATGTGAAGATAAACTATGAGGTTCTAATAAAGAGTATATAAGGGCTGGGCATGGTGGCTCATGCCTATAATCCCAGCACTCCGGAGGCTGAGGTGGGAGGATCATTGCCTGTGCTACAAAGAGAGCTTAAGGCCAGCCTGAACTGCGTAGCAAGACCTGTCTCAAAAAGACAAAAAAAAAAAAAAAAAAAAAAAAGAGTATATAAGGAACTATTCCTAGGACCTAGGGGTGGAGAGGGAATTTTTAAAACAAAATTTCAAGAACACAGTTTCTTTTTGTTTTTATTGCTGGGGATTGGACCCACGGCCTCATGCATGCTAGACAAATACTGTATTACTGAGCTACAAGCCCAAGTCTAAGAATACAAATTTTATTTTAATTTTACCTCAAATCTACTTCCAGAACACAAATTTTAGAGAAAAGAGAAATTTTTGATCAAATGGAAGCAGAAGATTTCTTCTTTCTTTTTTTTTTTTTCTCCTTGGAGACAGGGTCTTGCTATGTAGTCCAGGCTGGCCTCAAACTCAAGGTGATCCCTCTGCCTCAACCTCCCATGTGCTGGGATTACAGGTCTGTGGCATCATGCCCAGCTGGAAACAAAAGGTTCCTGCCAACAAAAACCACCATGGACACAATTAATAAATGGCAGAGTGGAAGAAGATTTCTACAATTCCCAGGATGCACAATTGACATCTGGATGATGCAGAGAATTCTTTCAAGTCAACAAGAAATATATATCAGTACTAACAGAAAATATGAACAGGTAATTTACAAAAGAAGGAATCAAAACAGCATATGAAGAGATGCTTAATCATTATAGAAAAATGCAAATTAAGACAACAGTGAGATAGCACTTCTGCTCTCCGTGTATTGTCAACTACTAGAGAGTTGGATAATGCTACATGAGAACAGCTGCCCAGAGAAGAAGGGGATAAGGAGAATGATTAGGTACTAAGAGGTAGACCATCAATTGGTGCCAAGGGTGGTATTGGACATCTGTAATCCTAGCACTTGGGAGGCTGCCGCAAAAGGATCTTGGTGAATTTGAGGCCAGTCTTGGCTACATAGTGAGCTCAAAACCAGCCTGGACTACATGGTGAAACCCTGTCTCAAAAATAAAAAGAAAAAGAAAGAAAAGGAAAGAAAGAAAAAAGCACAATCAATTGGAAATAGAACTTGAAAGGGTTGTTGACCCAGACCGGACACTGTAGCCAGAAAAAGCCTCAGCCGGAATTAGGGAGCTCCTGTCTCCCCCGCCCCTAGAGATTTACCTGTAACCCTATATCTCCCCACCCTTGGAATCTGCCCCTGGCACCAAACGTGTGCCAATGAAATATCTGTGCATCTCTAATGGCTTTAGGGCACTGCCCTAAGCTTAGGCTACTTGTATTCCCCCCATGCCACGTGTCCACGAGAGAGATCGCCAGATTTCAGCGGCCGGCGTGCCAGTCACTCCGTGTTCTCAGAATAAAGGCCTCTTATGTTTTATACTTTTCATCTTTTGGAAATATTTTTCACCTTCTGGAAATAATCCTATCAGAACTCACCAGCCTTCACACTGAACTACATCCCTGGCCCTTAGTTTTTATTTTGAGATAGGGTCTCTCTAAATTACTAGCAGGCTGGACTCAAACTTGCAATCCTCCTGCCTCAGCTTCCCAGAATTCTGAGATTACAGACATGCTCCACTATGCCCCGGAACTGCGTGGGTTTAACATCTACTCTTATTGTATATTTAAAATGCAAAGCAAATAAAAGGCTGCCATCTTTCTATTTTTTTTCTTTGTATCTCCAGCAGCAAAAACAGTGCCAGGAACCTGAACATCTGGCAGACTTTCAATACTTGCTGGACGTAAGAATGCAGGAATGCTCGGGGATGGGAACCGTTCAGGAGGGCCCCTCCTCCCTCCTCAGCTGGGGGTCCCAGGCACCTGGGTCCACTCACTCGAAAGAAGTCACAAAGCAGGTCTGGGAAGGAGCCCCGGGCACCAGGGTTATGTTCTTCTCCACCGCCCAGCCATTGCCTCCGTGTTCCACCTCCCAGCCTCTGAAACCCTCTGAGGACAAACAGGGTTCAGTGTGAGGGGTTCGCCTAGCAGAGACCCCGCCACCGCTCAGCCAGTCTCACTCACTCGTTCCTCCCTGTCATCCTCCTCCCCCAGGCTTTCCCTCAGACCCCATCTGTGCGTATTCAGTATTCCTGCGTCTCCCAGTCTGCCCATCCATTCAATTTTCTCCTCCCTGGGTCAGTCTCCTTTTTGCTTCTCAAATTCCTGGCGCCACCCGGTGACCCACCCCTACCTTGTCCCGCCCCCTCACCCAGATTACCTCTGGCTTCTGTGACGCTTTAGTAGAGTATGCAAACTTCGGCCCCATCATCACCCAATCAGCTTCCCCTCAACTAGCCGCACGCACCTTCCTCTAAATTACGCCTCTGAGTGCATTCCCATTTTCACGTCCGCTTGTCAGCTCCGCCCCCAATTCCTTTACTTGTCTCCCACTGGCTACATCTCTCAACCCTGCCCTGGCCACGCCCATCCATCCTGCTTCACCGGAGGCGGTCTTCCCTCGGTTCCTACAGAAAGGTCGGCCCCACCCCGTTTTAGGCCCCGCCCCCGGCACGTACGCTCTCCGCAGGAGTTGAAGATGAGGTTACGCCCGAGTGGCGCGCGCACACAAAAGCGCGCCAGGGCGCAGAGCGGTAGCTCCTCTTCGTTCTCGCTGCTGGGCGGGCAGCGCTGGGCCAACGCATAGATTGCGCGACCCTCGGCGCTGCGGTCGCGGGCCAGCTGCAGCAGCCATACGGTGGGCCCGTCCACCACGTCGCGCCAGGCCCGGCACACTGGACGGCAGCAGGTCACTAGCGCGCGAGGCGGCACGTGGCTCAACACCCGCACGAGCAGTTCAGGGGGCAGCGCGTCCAGGGTCGCTGGCGGGTGCACGGGCTGCCGCTGCCGCGATGGCCGGCCACCCATCGCCACCGCTGGCGTCCTGTGGGTCGAGAGGGGTCCGTGGGTCAGCGTCTTTCCAAGGTCATCATCAACTCCAGTGTGGGACTGGGTGGGGCCGCCATGTCTGTGAATGCCAAGCTCAGTGCTTGGCTGATTGTGATCCAGAGAAGTCCTCTGCTTTTCCTCTTCGGACCCTGCCTGGAACTGAGCAGCGTGGCACAGGCCTGTGATCCCAGCACTTTGGGAAGCTGAGGACAGGAAGACAGAAAATTCAAACGCTGCTGAAACTGTCTCAAAAAATAAAAAGACCCCTGTGTGATCAGACCCAATCAGGAGCTCTAAGCTCAGCTGCGAGTCGTGCACTTGTGTCAGGCTAAACACTTCACTTGACCAGAAATACACTGACCTTCACGAGGGGAAACCATTTCTGCTCCTTCCCCCAGTGTGTCCCCAGCTCCTTGGGCCTTTGCCATTGAAGACCTGTCTTTGGCAAAATCCTTTTCCTCAGCTTGTCATCTTGCTCAAACCAGAACTGGGCTTTCTTAGGCTCATTCCAAAAGAGTTGGTGTCCCTGCCCCTGGGAGCTGCTTCCAGAACCATCCTCTGGCCCTGCTCCCAGCTGCCTAGCTGCAGAGCTCCTGTCATGAGGGGTCAGTCACTGGCACCTCACAGGTCACTGGCTGACCCAGGTGTACTCCACTCTCTTTAACCTCTGTCTTAACTCACTCCTCTCAGGCTGCTTCTATCACCATTCTGGTGATCCCCGTGTCCAGGTAGATGATCCCCTCCACTCGGGCCTGGCAGTTCCCTGCCCTCTTCAGTGACCTTGTCGTTCCCACTCTCTCCCGCCCTCCCATCACAGTAGACCTTGATTCAATGACAATGACAGGAGCCTCTTCAGAACAGCAGCCTTCCAAGGCATCAATCTTCCCTCCTCAGCTCTGCTCCCCCACCAAGTTTAAATTATAATTAAAATTAAAACTTTCATTTGCATACACCTTCTTGACTTCCTCTGAAATCATGCTGACTTGCTTGTTAAATCCAATCCTGCACTCACACAGCGTAGGGCTGGACATCAGCACTACTTCTGGGTCCTTGCACTCCCACTCCGTTTGTGAAGTGACCTTGGGTTGTTCCTAATGCTCCCTGGCCATCGGATGATATGATGAGATTTCCCTTGCCCCCACCTCTCTTCCTCTCTTGGACAGTGGTTTCACATCATTACCCTCTCTCTTCTGCCCTCCTTCCGGGCCTTCTCTTCCTTTTGTTTCTGCACTGGGGACTGAACTCAGGGCCTTTGCACTGAACTAAATCCCAGCCCCTCACCCCCTGTAATTTTGAGACAAGGTCTTGCTAAGTCCCTAAATTGCCCAGGATGGCCTTGAATTTGCAATCCTCTTTGTCTCAACCTCCTGGAGTGCCGAAATTAAAGGTGTGCCTGATTTCCTTACTTTTTTTCTTAAACTCTTTATCAACTTCTAACACATAACTTCAATCTTCTAACAAATAACTATGTAATGTATTTATCTGTATTGTCTGTCTCCCCAGTACCCTAAGTGCAGAAATTATTTCTTTGCACGCTCCAAATGCCAATGCTTAAGACTGTGCCTGACACATCATGAATATTCAGTAAGGAGATGGTAAATGAACAAGTGACTGAAGCATCAGTGTGGCAGTTTAGGTGTGGTTCTACAGTAGAGCACTTAGCTAGCACCTGTGAGGTTCTAGGTTCCATCCCCACCACCAAACAAGAGGCCCATTTCACAGATGGGAAAACTGATGTCACAAGATGTGTTGTGAGGTGAGACAGACCCCTTTATTAAACAGAAACTCAGGGCCCAGCCCAAGGCACAGGCTCATATTATCACTTTGTCCCCAAAGGTGGCAGAGCAGCCTCGGGAGAACAAAGCACTGGGCCCACTCTGCCTGTCTGTGACTTTTACTCCCTGAGATGCTTCTGCTGGTAGTATGACCAGGAGCAAGTCCCTTAGTCTATCTTCCCTTCTGTTTCCTTTTCTGAAAACGGCTGTGTTAATGCTGTCTACTTCATAGGGATGTCTTGAGGATGATATGAGTTCGTATTTGTAGGACACTTAAGCACTTGGGGCTCATAATGAAGAGTGCTAATTATCCAATATTAAGCATTAAATTATGTCAGTGGCGATTATTGTTAGGACACATCAAAAAAAGTGATGAGCAACTCTGTAGCCGTGATATTTTCCTGTGGTGACATTCACTGGCCCTCAGGCGGCTACCAGGTTGTATGTTCAAGTTAGATCAGCTCATCAGCCCCGAGGGTGGTGTGGCTTAACAGGTGATTCAGCCCTTCTAGGTTGCCCCCGGTTAAGAGGCTCTCAGACCCTTCTCCACAGCTGGAATTTTCCTGGAGTAGATTGATGAAGATTTTGTTAAAAAAATTTTTTTCAGAAGAAAGAAGGAAAGACGTTGCTCTCAGGTAAATGGTCTAGGGAAACAGCAAAAATCCTGGCCCCACCTTTACTCTGCCAGACGGAAGCCAGGAAGACCTGTTGCTCTCGGATGAGACTGCTTTCCTCCTGCTGGCTATTAGCTGCACTAATAATTAGCTACGACTTATAAGCAAGTTCACTAGTTCACCTGGCAAAGATGTGAGCGCCACCAGAGTTTAGTCCCCTGGTCTGTTCTTCTCAGGGGTGTGTTGATCACTGGCGACCAAAGGACTTCTGGGGCTGGGTGGCCCTGGTGGGCAGCCAGACTTTACCAAGGAGCAAGAAGCATACTTCAGGCCAGGCACAGTGGCACATGCCTGTAATTCCAGCACTTGGGTGGCTGAGGCAGGAGGATCACTGTGAATTCAAGACCAGCCTGAACCACATACCTAGAGCCTGTCTCAAAAAAACCTAAGTAGGTGGCAGACAGCCGCCCTTCCAGGGGGAGAACCACCAGTGTCTCCTGAGATCCACGCCATGTTGGAACTTAGGACGCTGGCAAACCAAGCAACCAGCTTGCCTCCCTGCTAAGTAATAGTGAACCTACTGGTGCACGGCCTAGAGTCAAACATCCCACTTCCTCTACCCCCCTTCTCCTGTCCCCCCATTAGCAAATGGGAACCAGAAATATGAGCATCTCTTGGGAGGTTGACCATAGCAAATAATGGGGACTTCCTTATACCATCTCTTTGAAGGCAAATATTTCTATTACAGTTTTGCTTTATCTGATTAATGGTAACTGCTCTATTCAATATTCTGTTTTAATAAGTCCTATAATGTTCTATATTTCATTTTATTTTGATATACCTAATTGAAAGAACAACTATTGTAAAGATAATGAAATATACTGTGATACCTATTACTGTTATCCCAGTAACCTGCTGTGAAGTTCTGTACCAATTTCACTACATGGTCTCAGTTGGCTTTACTCTGTCTTGTTCTGTTGTATTTTACTACTTTCAAAATAAAAAAAATTAAAAACCAAACAAAATGATATTCCCCATAAAGATGCATAAATATGTCTTTAAAAAACCCTAAATAAATAAAAGGAAAAATCAGTATAGCTCATGATCCCTCAGCAGCACTACACAAACTATACAAATTGCTTGTTGGGGACACATCAACTACCTAAGCCCCATCCTGTCCCCATGGCTGAATGTCAATTACTGGCTGGCTCATTCCAGGGCAAATGAGGCCTGGCACTGCCTTTGCCAGCACATTTGGGAGTATGTTTGGAGGAAGTTACTATCGGTTGTTACAACCGAGGTATCGTGGCACATGCCCTATAATCTCAGGCTGAGGTGACAGGATTCCGAGTTTGAGACCAGTGTGAGCCATTAGCAACTTAGTAAGATCCTGTCTCAAAATTCAATAAAAATATTTAGAGAGAGCTGGGAATCTAGGTCAGTGAAACAGCTCTGAATTCAATCCTCATAAAATAAAATTGTAAAACATCATTGTCACAGTAACTGGAGACACTCCTAACATGTAGTTTCCAGGGACTGGTAATGCTATGTATGGTGTCCAGTGGTTTCCAAAGCCAGCCACTGCACCATTTCCTGACTGTTCTTCCACAGTTTGCCTGTTCCTGAAACTGTAAGGCCCACGTCCCTGCCTCTGGCACGGTAGGTCTCAGGACAGGTTTAACTCTCAGAGCGCTACAGAAGGGACAGGTGCCAATGGAGCCTGAGAGTGTGTGGTTGCTGTCAAATGCTAAGTGGTCAGCAGCTGGTGGGGTGGGAGCATTTGGGTTTCTAGCATTTTCTAGGGGTATAAATTATACCCAAGGCTCATTACAAGCTGCCCATGTGGAGTCCCTGAACTGAGGGGTTGGCGTGAACCAGAAAGCAATGTGACGGTTAACTGGCTTTTGCCAGGTATGCACTAGCTCCGCACATGGCTGCCTGGAAGTCACTGTGCAGAGAGGCAGCAGCACCAGCTGTTCCTGCCCCAGCCGTTCCCACCTGCAAAAGAACTGCAGGCAGCATTAACAGGTTCACACTGGGTGGAGGTCTTTTTGTTAGGAAGCATTTTTGTTGTGTTTCTTGAACCACGGCCTGGCTCTGTGTGTGTGTGTGTGTGAGCCTGTGCCTGTGTTTATTTATAAAGATTCACCAGGCTGTCTGGTGTATGCAGCACTTTCTAAAAAATGATAGCAATAAAACAGACATGCTAATCCATGCAAAGTACCAAAGAGGGTGTAAAAGCTTCTGTCAAAGTTATCAAACAGCCAGGCGTGGTGGCACATGCCTGTAATGCCAGCTACTGGGGAGGCTGAAGCAGGAAGGTCCTGGGTTCGAGGCCAGACTGGGCAGTTTAGTGAGATTCTGTCCCAAAATACAGACAAACAAATAAACAGGACTGGGGATGCAGCACAGTGCTTCTCAGCCTGAGCAAGTAGATCCCTGGGTACAATCCCCAGTACAGGAGAGAATGAGGTTATCGAACAAAAGATGCCACTCTTACAAAGAACGAGTCCACATAAACTGCTGGGAGCTAGCAGATAAGTGTCTGCTTTAGCAGCTCCTTAACTTGTGCAGTTCATGGCAGCCAGAGACTGACTGACTCCCCATCCTCTGTCTCTCTCCCTTCTTCCCCCGTGCTTTCTTTCCCTCCTTCCCTCTGTGAAGCTTAAGACTGATCCCAGGGCCTTTATCCTGAGCGATGCCCTCAGCCCTTTTTATCTTTTATTTAGAGAAAGGCTCTTGCTAAGTTGCGCAGGCTGAGCTTTAACTTGCGATCCTCTTGCCTCAGCCTCCCCAAGTGTTGGAATTACAGGT